AATTACTTATTTGAATTTGAATAATAAAAAACATTAGATAATGGAAATGAATCAAATAACATAGGCAGTACATTATTCTGTAAAAAATTATAAAAGTATTTTTAAATATAATGTAATTTGGTTTTATCGAGTCCCTGACGCGCATAATAATTATATCCGCAAAAAAGGTCAATCAAATTAAACGTCTTATTTGTATTCTTACCTATTTACATTTGTTGTTGTAATATCGAAAAAAAAAAATGTTTTAAAAATGAACGCAATGCCGATTTTAAATATTTTCAAAATTAATGAAAAAAAAAAACGTCCGATCCGTTGAAAATTAATAATAATAATAATGTATAAAAGAAACCCGCGCACTAGTTGTGAGAAATACAAATTGAATTTGTCGCAAAATATTATAACCAATCAAACAGTCAGCGTATTATTATTTATTATAACGTGTATTTTTTGTTCGGTTTTTTTTTTTCGAAAAACTATTAATTGTCCGCGGAGAACGACAATTTTTAATCGCGATCGGACCCCCGGAGAGACGTGACTACATGCGACGACTGAAAAATGTGCGATGCCAACGCTCAGAGCCGGCGACACTACTACAGAGCTGCAAAGGGAGTATTCAGTCGGCGCATGCTATCCATTCACGAAATCCACAGGTGCCACGAAATCGGCCGTTTCTGTGATATTATTTCAATCGGATTACGATGTATATATATATATATAGACTCGGGTAGATATTATACAATCGAAACTACAATTTTCCATTATCGACTTATCGGAATAAATAAACGTCGGGCGTATAATATTATAACATAATAATATACAAAAAACGACGGGCATTGAACAGTTTAAAAGTTAATTGATTATTTTCATTCGTAATAATAATAATAGTTTACGATATAATATTTTGTTGGACGTTAGATATACGGAATTCAACTTTTATTCTGTTCAATATTTATTTTTTTCTAATCATAACTAGAACTTGGCTCTTGTGTTCGCAAAATTCAAAACAATAATTTTAAACGTTTTTGGCAAACATTTTGATGTTAACAAATATTTACCAATGGTGATAGTCATTAATTTTCAAAACATTTTTGATGTTTACGATAATTCAAATTTTTTTTATTACAACTGTAAAATAATAACAGAAAAACATTAGTAAACACGAGACGTTAGTAAATATTTGTAATATTAAAAAGTGATTTATAAAATTTAGACTATTTTAAATTTTTCTAATATAAAATACATGAATCATAACGCAATATTATGCAATAAAAAAAAAAAAAAAAACCTATTGAATTAAACGAAAGCTATTGCATTTGTCAAAATAATATGTCCGTGGAATACTCCGTATAATTAAATTTTACTTTTAATGTTGCTTTTATTTATAATATATATAATACTACCGAGCATAATGAAAACCTATGGATTTTCATACAACAAAATACGCAAGGAATAGAAAGTGCAGATTTTATTGAATTAATAAAACAATATATTTTATCGAACCGTAATCGGCTAAACTCGAATAAAACTGAACTACTGTACCGCAGGTACTGTGCACACCAATGTAGGCAAATTGCATACCCACAACGCCGTTACGTTATGCAGATGAATTCATTCTATATTGTATATTTATTGTTTATTGTATAACTTATTTTAATATCACGACGTATTATTACGTACTAACTATTATAACAATACAGATAATTCATTGAAATAATATTAAATACACTACTAACATTCCCGCTCTGCGTTTCCTGTTTTCTTTTTTTTTTCATCTGTGTTACCGAGGTAATCTATAAATACGTAAAAACCGAATTTAAGGAATGGTGTTAAATTGGAGATTGGGTGGATTTCAATAACTATAAACCTTCTCCGGACAATGTGGACCATTTTTCGAAAATCACCCCAATGGGTTTTGATTCTATTAATCGTATATCAGATAGACATTCATTTTTATAAAATATATTATATAGATGTATATTATTATGAGTACGTATATGTGTTTAATCTACACACTAAATTATGAAATAACTTATTTACATCTTGAAAATTAATTACTAATAATAAATTTAAAGGGCGTTTAGTGAGAATTCGAGCGAACACTACGAATATTATTAAAATACTATCAATTATTACAAAAATGAATCGATAATTATTGTTATAATAATATATGTCAATCGATAATATTTGAAAACGTCGAACGCGCGTACTTTGTTCGGTAAATAAATGAAATAATGATATCAATCGTCTTTGATATTTTACAATCGTTCGATTCATTTAAAAAAACAAAAATCATTCAATTAAACGTATTTCATTTCGGTTTAAAAATAGCAGTTTAATTTAATTACTTCGGTGCACTTGTATGAACTTTGCGATTAAACGGTTATAAATACGACAGTGCTCCAAATTCAACCAAAACCCTTCAGAATAATGTACAGTATATGTGTTTTAATGACGTCACTCCGTCTCTATAGTAATAGTAATATAAATAAACAACAATATAATATGCTTAAATCCGATATGCTAAAATATCATCACCATTCATTATAGTGGTAATCATTTTTAAAATAAATAAAACAAATATTTCGACATGCAAATCATTATGAAACCGTTCACTTTATTAATGGTTACATTTACTGTAATATGTCATGCGAACGAATTACTCGAAAATATATGTCTACAAGTATGTTTCTTATTATTAAATACGTTTCAAAAAAATATAAAGCGTAATTTTTAACGAAATCCGTATCTGAGCGAAGTTCTATTAAATGAGTTTTAAAATTCTATGATTTATGGACTATATTCGTCAAAATTTAAATTTAAAAAAGCGTAAAAAAAGACCACTAAAATACACCCATTTCTTTTTTGTTTTACCACCAAATACAATCTATGTTAAATCTCGTGAAAATGCTCAAATATTTTGGCTGAACTAAATAATTATAATTACATAAATTGATGAATAGTACGCGAAATAACAGAGTTTTTACTATTTCCATTACATGTGACACTTAAAACGCATGTGTAAAAACGAATACAAAAAAATCAATCACTATAAGTACAGCCAACGACAAATCTCGTGTAAAATTATAAATAATTTCTGATCAGCCGAATTTTAATCCACATATCTAAATAAAACAGTAAAAAAACGTCAAATGTCAAATGTCCATAAATAGAATTAAAATCTACAGAATATTTTTAAAAAATTAACTCACGTATATATAAAAGCTAATATAAATATTAAACCTAATAAACTTGATTACGATATAACGATTATTTCAAACCGAAAAACAACAAAAAAAAGACATCCTAGGATAATGGAGACGGGTGCAGCCACTGTTATAAGTAATTTAATGTATATCTGTAAACAAAGATAAACCGTTGCTAGCAAAAAACTATTTTGAACGCAGTTCAGTTGATAGTGATGCTTTATCAACAATATTTATGTGATATTATGGTAAAACAATTAAATAAGCATTATATATTCTTTGATAATATTTATTTATACCGATTTTCCCATGTTTTTTACCGATTTTTTCCATTTATTGGGAAAACTCTTGGGAAAATTGAAAAACTACCTCCACTAAAAGTACCTTTCCAGTCAAATTTCCGTTCAGAAAAGTGCTTTCATTTTAAATCGGATTAAATAGAGCGAAATTGCTGTTAGAAAAGTCGAAGAAAAAAAAGCAATAATCTTTTTTTAATAATACCTACATTTCGTACATTTTCCGTTTTTCCGACATTTTATTCCGGTTTTTACCAGATATTATAAAAACCACTGGAAAAATCAAAACACAACATTTTCAAATTACCATAGAGTAAAAATTTCTATTCAGAAATTAAGCTACACTTGATACAAAGGAGCAAAATATCTGGTAGAAAAGTTTGCACAACAAATCGAAGAATATTTTGTGATTAAAATAATTGGAGAGAGCGATGGCTTGGGTCTCTAGGAATATCCAAAATGTATTTGTGTTTTCCTTGTTTTGGAAAAGAGGAAAAAAATTACAAACAATTTTTTTTTTCGACACACTAAATTGAACCCGGAACCTCTACAATGATAATAAGCATATATTACCATTTGATCACGACAAATATGCTTTAAGAAGGACAATATAGAGTTATTTAACATAATATGTAATATCCGCATAATTTCAGAACTTCAAAAAGCTATAACATTGAAACTTAGTAAGTCCGCTTAATTCTGACTTCACCATCGTTCTTAAATCAGCAATACACGTATATGTTCAAAAAAAATTGAAAAATTAGATTTATTCCACATAAATTATTTGTCAAAATTTAATATTAAAATTCTCTTATAAAAAAAAGTAGTACATTAAAATCAATTTTTTATTTTTAACACAAATTAAGACTATTAATGAACCATCTGTTAAATTTCGAAACATTTCCAGTCGATACGAATATTTTTAACTAAATTTCAACAAAAATTTTAAAAATTTTTTTAAAAAGACTAACAATGGCTCAAATGTTTTGAAAATTTTACCTCGTTTAGAAAAGGCAAATATAAGTTTTCTGTCCAAATTTTAAGTCTTAACGGATATTTTTAACTGAATTACAATTACAATAAATAACAAAATTGAAAAATAATAAAAACATTATTTTCGTAAATATCCCATTTTTCTTACCTTTTATCATGATTTTTCCCAGATATTATGAAAACCGATGAAAAAATAAAAAATGACTTCCTAAAAGAGTACCATGTGAAAAAAATTTCGTCGAATATACAAATATTCGACGAAATTTTCAAAATGAGCGTATTAATTATGATTAATATAATATATATTAAGTCTAAAACAATTATGTTTTAGGATTCTGGGACCTATTTAGTGAATTGGAATGACAATGTAATAATGTTTTGTAAGTATTTTTTTTCATGTATTTTACGAAAACGATTACTTGCATGTAATAATTATATTGTATATAATTTATTGTATAACTTGTTATGCATTACTGGCACAGTCGTAACAATAAAAAATAACAACAACATGCCTGTGAACGCATCTGTCGAGATGATCAAATGTTGTGAACAATTTTTGACCGATGATGACATAGATTGCAATGTAAGCCAATTATATACCACGTAACTAATTTCCCTGTTTATCAATAGGTCAATTAAACAAATTTAAGCTCCGGTAATGTAATTAAACTAGGAATGTGATTTTAATATCACTTGATATTTTAATTAATTTAAGATATTTGGTCAAAGATTTTAACTCGAGATTAGATTCAATTATTATCAGGTATCAAATGTTGTTTGAATTTACCAATGTAGGTACTTTTAATTTGAAATGTTGTTTATTTTACTTTTACTTTATTACAATAAAAAATACGGAGGGCTCAAGGCCGACCTCTGATGAACACCTACTCAGAGATGCTATATTATTTTTTACACACACTTCTTACACTTGTATTTAAATCCTCTGTCAAATAATACAATTTCAGAACTCATTTTCTTCACATTCTTGTACATCTCCTTTTCCTTAAAAAATGATACAGATAACAATTCATTAATTGAATAAATTCAACTTCAAATTGAGATCTTAAGTTCGTTAAAATTATAATTTGTTCAATCTATTGTTAGCTTCTATCTGAAACTAGTAAACTGATCATTTAGTTGGTCATTGAAAAAATAAGCTTGGATTAAGTATTTGAATTGATTTATAATTAACGAATCGAAATAAATATTAATGAAAAATTAAGAATAACGATTTTATTATAATTATATTATATAAACACGTTTAGCATATGCGACTGGATGGTTCGAGAGTTATGTTGAAAAAAAATTCCATCACCAACTGTACACTTATCTATCCAAATGCGGTAAATACAGATTTATTTTTACAAAATTACCTCTATTACACAAATAGCTTAAAACTAATTATATACGTAATAATTCAATCAGTTTTAAATTATCAAAGGTATTATGACAAAAAGGTAAAATATACCTAAAATTGTTTAGATTTATATTTAATTTAATTATTCAATTAATAACAAACGTGTTTTTATAATACTATTCTTTTTTTTATTTTTTTTATTAATAGAATTTATCGAATATTTTGTAAATTTACATTTATACAAAATTACCTTTAAATAAACACGACTGCAAAATTCGTGCAATTACTAGCCACAGTTAATAATAATAATAATAATAATAATAATTGAATGATATTTTCTATTTGAACAATTTTATATTAGGAATATAAATAAGATTTTTATTTAACATGTTTTATATAATTTGTTTAGTATCCACTTAACCGTAAGGGTGTATGCAATGTAAACATTACATTATACGACAGTAATCAATGCAACATAATGGAATTCATAGAAAATATTCCTTTCGACACGACTATAAAACCACAAGATATTATGTTTTTATTTAAAAAAAGTAAGTAGATAATGTGAAATAACTTCGTACGTGTTAACGTATGACTTGTTACTTGTTATAAAATAACAATCGGGCAACCAATTTGTAAATATTTTTAAAGTTTTTGTCATCATTCAAATTAAAAATACAAATAAAAAAATAAAAGAGTCAACACTACTAATGAGTGATATTGTTACATTTGGAAAGCTATAAAACTAGATTGTATAGTATACATGAATGTATTTATTTATATCTGCGACTATCTATACATATATATGTATGCGACGATATATACATATATATTTATGCGACGATAAATCAATGTTAATAAATACGATTCTGAGCGAAATACGATTAATCATGTTCTGAAATTCCGTACACGATTTTTATCAAAATTTGGACTTGAAGTATTTTTAAAAAAAAAAATGACTACATTAAACTTAAATAATTATTTTTTTTACATCAAATACAACTTATGATCAACCACACTGTAATAATACGAGTACATGAGAAATAATCAAATATTATAAAAGTTTAATGAAACAAGACAATTTAATGAGTCATATTAATTTTTATACGTAATGTTTAAACACTTAGATAGGTTTCGGTAGGTATATTTAAATAAAATGAGTTAAGTGGGTGGCTATACAAATATTTGGTCCTTAGGTAAACATAGTTAATCAAGCCACTGGACCCACATTTATAGCTTGAATTGGTTAAAAAAACATGATCAATATAAGTGCCTATAATATTTATAACCTAAACCTTATAGACATCTATAACTAGGTACCTATAGCTAGGTGCCTTTCTATAAGGAATAAGGTGTATAAGGAATAAATTGTTTAAAGTATTTTTAATTTATATAGAAATATTTATTGTGTTTTCGCATTCATTAGGTTTTCTTAATATTGACAAACAGTTTCGATTATGCGAATCAAAGGATGAGGATCCTGCAGATTTATGTGAACCGGTCAACTGCCACATGAAATACCGAGGATCAAAAAGCTGGTTTGACCCTATTAAACGTCAGTGTGTACCTATTCCAGTGTGTGATAACAGTAAACCAGATTCATCAAATATAGTAATCATGAAAAAAAATTATGATTTCAATACTTGTTAACAAATATTAATATTTACATTATTTAAATTATATTTTTAATATTAAGTCTATATAATACAAGATGTTCTATGGGATTTGTATATAGTTAGTGTAAGTAAAATTTTTTTTTTTTTATTCAATCAAATATTCTTTCAGGACATATATATATAAAGAGAAAAAATAAAATGTATATTATCACCCGTCAATCACTTTCTATTTATTCACTTTTCAACATTTTCAAAATAGATGATTTTCAATAATTAAAAATTATTATTAAAATTTGCCATGTAACATACATAAACATCAAATGAATAATTTCTTAGTAAAAGTTGATTTTAAAAAAGTTATATTTAATACCTAGATTACCACGTTACGTGATTTTAAGTTATAATCGTAATGCAATTAATATCACTTTCAACCAATAACTATTTTTACTATAAACAGGTTTTTTTATCACGTAATAATGTAGTAGCTTACAAATATTACCAACTAAAACGATTATAACTAAAAAAAAAATATTAATCAGATATAAATGTATAGTAAATTCAAAATGTCCAGAGTAATAACTTTAACAATATATTATATGAGTATTTTCAAAATTTTGAAAAGATGAAAACAAAAATATAATGTTTAGATACAATATGTGTCCCCATGACAAAATATCTGATTATATAAAAAAAAATACTAAGGACTAGTACAGTCACTATTGTGGATAGGAAGTTGGGAATATAAGAAATATAGTTATTCAAATTATATATGTACGCAAAAGATAAATAATTGCTAACGAAAGCGATTCGGCACGAAGTTTAGCGAGACATATTTTGAAATGTCTTAATTTTATGATTTTCATCAAATTTTCATTTGATCTTAAAACGCTTATAAAAAAAAAAAAACCATATAACATTAAACTCAAATTTGTTTTTAAGACCACTAAGGGTAATTTATAATGTACATTCTGTTAAATTTTCAAGAATTTCTCTTAAGTAATATAATTTTAATAACAGATACCTACCTACCAAATAAAAATACATATAAAAACCTATAAAAAGTCTAAAAATAGGTAGAATGTTTAGAAAATTGAACGTCTACAAAAAGCCAATAAAAATATGTGAAAATTACAGATATCCACAATAATTTTTAATCGAATAACAAAAAACTCCAATGCCGTATACTTTTCCGTAATTTCTACGATTTTTCAGGTTCTTCATAATTATTAGGAAAAGTGTACGGAGAAAAAAACAAACACTTTCTTATTTATAAACTGACAAATATAAAACAAGCACACATCATAATAAAACTATTGTGCTCCATATATAAAAAAAAATGAATATTAACAAATATTTATTTTTTAATAATTGGGAACCCGCTTAGGAAAAATAGTAAAGTTTTTCGGCATTGCCGGTTTCATAAGTGTCAATTTTTTTTTTTTTTTTTATTTCGATTAAAAATAAACACAGAAAACTAACATGTTCATAGAACATACTTTACGTGATAAAATTTTCAAACAATTCTCGAAATTATTAAGCTTGTTATGTGCATTTAATATTTCAGTATTGGTTTAGATTTTTATTTAGTTTAATGTAAATAAAATTACTTTGCCAAATAGATATTCTTGAAAGTTGAATACGTGATTCTTTATAGGTTCAACATAGTGGTCAAAAACAAAAGTTATGCGTGGTATGTAGTTATGTAGTAGTTTTTTTTTTAAAGGCATTTTTAAATCAAAATTTGATGAACATCAGAAATATTGCGACCTTTCAAATCATCTCATAAACAGGGGCGTCTTTATAGGGGAGATAAGGGGGCAATCGCCTCCCTCCCCCGGGAGAGAAGTGGACTTACTTTGATGTTTGACATGGTCATTGGACCACAAGTAGATAAAATCAATATATTATTTGACATCATTTTTTTTCTTATCGATTATTATTAAATAATTTATTTACTTCGCCTTCTCCCTGATCATAATCAAACTTCGATCGCAATCGTTTTATCATTAATTACAAATATAAATTAAATAAATATGTAAATTCTTAAAAAATTAATGAATTAAAAAAAAATATTAATTGTTTTTTTTAAATATCACATGTTTGTTCATACTAAATACATATATGATGGCTGTTATATGCAACTTAATCACGCTTATTAATGTTGCATCAAATAGTGTTTTCCGCAATAAAAAACTACAATTCATAAATAACTATATATTACAACAATACGACAATACAACACCATTAGATTTATTTTTAAAGACTGCGAGACTACGATTAATTTGATTTTTTTTTTTAGTGTAAAAAATAAATGTCTATATTATTATAAAATCTAGATTGGTATGTATCATTAAACCCACACTTTAAATTCCAAGCAGTGAGAGAACATAATTTCATAATTGTATTTTTGTTTCAGAATACACTGATTTTTTAAAATAGTAAAATAGTTCAAAGTTTTATTCGTTACTTTTTTAAATTTCTGTAGACATTTTATTCAAGAAAGTGTTAAATTTCAATAATTTTACATACTCATAAACGTTTACAATTGTTTTTTCAAACTTTTTCACTATTGTCAGTATTATTAATTTGTCACGTTACTTTTAAATTTATATATATATATGGTACCGTAAAGGTACTCTTATAAGGTATAACTTCTCATTACTTCATAAAATATTGCCTATGTTATTTTTACTTAATATTTATTTTAATTGTTATGTTAAAGGTGTATGATCCATATAGTAATACGTGCATAACTTTGGCCAATGACATATCAATAAAAGACATCGATTCAGTGTTATATGAAACACAAGATTTAAGACCGATAAATAAAACTAAAAAATCGTACCAGTCAAATATACGGTGTCATCATGGCAAGATGGACGAAATAAACAAACTTTGTATTTGTCACGATGGATGGAAAAGCGCTCAAAATTTGAGTTTCCCAATCGTTTCTACAGTGCCTATTCACATGTGCACTATACAAATCAATAATAATATAATTTCCAAATATTTACCGATTATGAAAAAAATGAATTCTACAAATTGGGTATCCTTTTAATACACAAAAATCTATTATTATTATTAATTAAAAATTATTAAAGCATGTACCATTCATAATCCATAAAATATCATAATATTATCAATCAATTAATAGGAATTCAACTATATAATTATTTTACTTCGAATTATAACATATTATAATAACGTTTTCCAAAACTTTAATCATTAATATTATTTAAGCTAAACTTAACCTAGTAAATTTAGATGCATAGATATCTGCGTATAATTTACAAACATATAACTATTATTGTTATTATATATAGTATACTATAATACTGAACGTTGTTTTTTTGTTCTTAATTTAATTGCATGTAACTATGTATCATAATGTATTTTGTTTTGAAATTTTTGTAAATTGGGCTCCAGCCCATTATCTTGATCAATAAATAAATCTTAATAAATTATACTTCTTAATTTATAAAGGCCGTAATAATATAAAAATAAATAAGAATAATAAGTTAGATTTCAAAACAAACATAAAAAAAAAATGTTATAAATATAAAATGTTCTAATTTTTAAATAATGACCTAAAGCTCACAGCATACTAAAAAATGTGACTGATAGTGATATCGCTGCATTTTTGATACATTAAGTATTTAATTGTTCCTTAATAATTATTTTTATAGTTTTGGGCATTCGTTCTATTTTTATTTTGGTATTTGATTATTCAACTGGTGATTATCTGTGTACTTAATAATACACATTTTCAAAATAAAAGAATAATGCTGAATGAACATCATTGAAATACAAATCTGAATATAAAATAAATTAATATATTATAATCAATTTTCTATGGTGTAGATTTTTTAATATTATAACTGTTTCAGCATCCAAGAAAATGGATCTATATCAACTAAGAAATCACTCAGAATAGTTTTTCTTTTTTATAGTAATGAGCAATAGCTTTTTATAGGAGCAATAGCTCCTTGCTACAAACTTTCCATATACAACAGCGGATTTTCTGTACACTCATATCACCTCTATTTCAATTCAACTTAAAGAATTGTCAAGATATATTAAGTATATTGAAGTATATTCTTTTATTATATTTGGTAGTACCTACTTCTATAACCATTTGGTCACAATATTCATCAAAAAAAAATAAGTACTAGATAGCCATTATGTTTTCAAATATGAACGCCCAGTATTTAAATGGTTGCATATAAAAAATGTTCATAACATTTTGACAAATTAATCCAATCAAAAATATTCATGTTGACTTTCAAATAAATTAACAAATCGGTAGAGAAAAAAAAATACAAACTGTTTTAGCACTAAGTAATTAAAGTTTCTCACTTTAAAATGATTTTAAAGATAAAATAAATATAAAACAATAATTCCAAAAGAACACCAAATAGTATTAATAATATATACCAAGGTCGGTCTTTATTTATTCTCTTACTAATTTTTCTGATAATTATATTTTGCAAGACCTATATGCGGTTGCCTTCGAAATATATTATCTTTCATGTATTAACCTATCATTTTATTTCAGAAATTATATATTACAATAAGTTTTGCGTAAACATGGTTTTACCACTGAAACTTTCTCATAAGATATGAGCATAATAATATTATTAATATCTGCTTAAGAGGACACCACACCTACATGGTCTTGGGCCAAATAACAGGCAACATAGCAGAAACATGCTTACGCAGCCTGAGTAGAACTCGATTAATATTGATTTCTTCTGAAAGCGCCTATTATAAAATTAAAAGAGGATAATATTCCGGAAAGGTAAGACCATGTGTTTTTTCCATTATTTCAGTTAATATTACGCTCAAGTATGCAACTTTAATTTAATGAGCTTTCTTAACGATTCCATTCTCGGTACCTAAAAAGTAAAAACCAGTTTTAACGAAACTCGTGAAAACACCAAATTAGGTTTAAGCCCAAAGAACGCCAAAAAATGGAATAAAATATTGATTCTCTGATTACCAAAGCTTAGTTGTAGCTAGTTAAAAAGTTACAGCTAAGTTCTAAGTTACTCTATTTGATAACTTTCAACTAGTTTTAAAAAAAATTAAATTAAGTATTTCTTTTGGTAAATAATTTTAACTAAACATATCAGCTAACTTAAATTTATAAAACGTTATTTTCAAATTTGTAGGCATAAAAAAACTGTGTATACGTATATAGGTACCCATATTTTTTTGCAATTATTTCGAAAACAACTATCTATTTTTACGTGGATAATTATAATTATCACTTAACAATGACATGTGCCTTATAAATATACCCGCACGATTCTTTTATAGTAAATCTATGAAATAATATAAATGTTAAAGAGTTCAAAATACGTTTTATGAATTGAATTCAAAGTGATTTTAAAAAAGTAACTTTCAACATTACTTCAATAATTCAAATTCATTTAACATTTGTATTTTACTTAACTCAATTGTATATTTTTTGTTTTTTTTTTAAGGGCAACTTAAACAAAATTGATCAACTTGCCCGACTTTACCTATTGCATGTACATCGTCTTCATTGCACGTAACCGGCACAGTTGACCGCCTAAACCCAGCGCTAATAAATCCAGTTTGTATTTTAATCGTGGTGTATAACACATGGCAGTTTATCACAAGGAAAACAAATCTATTACGGGCCACTGGAGCCCAATGGCGGCCCGGCGTTTGTACGGGAGACAAATCGGAAAAATGTATTGGAGGTTAGGTTAGAGCGACCGGACACAAACGACGATAATTATTATTATGGTTGTTATTATTATTATTATTATTATTATTACCGTCGTCATTATTATTATTATTATTATAATACAACGACGACGGTGGTGACGGAACCGCATAACCGCGCCGTCGACGTATTTGATTGATGCGTTTCCGGGGAGGCGGTTCATAGATGATAATAATTTACACGTATACATTATATTATTATTACTACTACTACTACTACTACTACTACTACTACTACTACTACTACTATATATTATATGTGGGATCGCCTGTGTATACATATTCACGCGGAGATCGAAAGTCGGTCTAAAGTGTACAATATAATATATATATATATATAGATAGGTAATAATATACACACGTCGCCGAACACGGGGGCCTGTACGATATTTTGTCGTGTCCGTCCGAGATTCACACCCGAAAATCGCTTACAGAACGAACCCCGTCAATAACCGCAACATCCAGTGACGTATCCGGGTGTGAGGGGACATCGGCTCGCTCATGCCCCCCCCCCCTAATGGTCATATTAAAATACAAATAGTTATATTAATTAATTAGTAATTAAGTATTGAAAATCTGTTGCCAGAGCCTAGACTTAAACCATTAGGTGGACAAGAAAAAAAAGATACAAAAAATATGTTAAAAATCATCGAAAGAAGCATAAAAACAACTTTCAACTTTCATATTTGAACTCGTATCATGTAATACATTCATAGCACACTGCTACATTTCATGTCAAACCAAAAAAAAATTAAAAGTATATAAGTCCCTAACCATGTTTATATTTACTAATTAAATAATAATAATTGCACATTTTTGAAGAGTAGGTAAATATTGAATTAAAACCGTTTCTAACTTCAATGAGCAAAACCATCCTATTCGCCGACGGACGGTTTTACTGTAGAACAGATTCCCCAGAACCAAATCGCCGCCAATTGTTTCCTCGACGGACTCATTCGTCGCTAACCTTTTCGCCGCCAAAATTTTCTCCGAAGGACTTATTTTTTTAAAAAAAAATTAACATATTTTTAAAAAAAGAGCTGATACTGGGATAAGGTGCAGTCACCGTTGTAGGTGGAAAGTTGGGATTTGGAAAAGTATGACACAAAGTTATTTAATTTAAATTTGTACGCAACAATAAACCATTGTTTAAAAGCGAAATTCGGTAAGAAAAATTTTGAAATGCCACAATAAGATCTTAAAACGCCTATCAAAAAAATGCTAAAGCATTAAACTAAAATTTATTTTTCAGACCACTAAGTAAAACTTATAATAAACCTAGTGTTAAATTTTCAAACATTTTTGTTTAGTTAAACTTTTTTTATCCACGTATACCTACCAAATAAAAACGATAAATAAATGCCGTAATTTTTACGATTTCCGTCAAACTGTGATCTTTAAACGCTTATAAAAATAAAAATAATACATAATGCACAATTTATTTATGTTTTACCATCAACTACAATTTATAATAAGTTAAAATACGATATAAATTAACTTATATCGTGTTCAATTTTCAAATATTTTGAATTGGTCAAAAAATTATAATCACATAAAACTGACAAATAATACAAGGAATGCCGAGGAATACGATTTTTCTAATAGGTGTTATTTTGTCTTTCAGCAGTTATAATGGAAACACTAATAAATTAAAATTCAAATTGTCTATATTTACCACTAAGTACAACTTAAATTAATCTTGTGTTTAGCATTTCTGTTTAGGCATAACATTTTAATCGTAGAAACCCACCAAACAAAAACACGAAAATATAAAATAACTATATAAATAGCTTAAAAATACCTAGAATATTTTGAAAAGTTGAGAAATGAGATATAGGAGGGAATTTAATACATATTTGTACGCAATAATTAATAATTGCTAACGGAAAATAATTCAGAATGGAGCTCGGTTAATAGTAGGCATTAGTATATTACGAAAAACTGTAATTTGAAATACGCTCGGAATCTAAAATTGTATTTTTCGTCTTTTTTGGTTTTTCCAAAAGTTAACACAAACTAGATGAAAAATGAAACAATAGATTTAAGACGCGTGTTAATGCAAAAAAAATTCCAAACATTTTTTAGATAGGTAGGTATCGTATCGATCATTAGACCGCAGTTTCTACGACTCACACAATTAGACACGGTCAAACGCGATAAATGTTGGAAAAGCAACTAGGTATTTAAGACAATAGCATCATAACAAAAAACTTAAAACTTCCCATTTATTTAAGTATGCCAGTGTTTTTCCAATGTAAAATCTAGTGCATTGATGAGGGGAAGGGGATAGGTAATTGTATGATATTCCTTGTACTTATTAATGGAGATAACCTTTCCTATTCTTAAACAAAATTCCTTTCAAGAACACTAGGTGTATTATGAAATTTATAGTTTTACTTAGTGGTCTAAAAATGAATTTAAATTGAATGCTTTAGTGTTTTTTTGATACGCGTTTTAGATCAAATTACTACATTTCAAAATTTGTCTTAACGAATTTCGCTCACAATCGTTTTTCGTTAGAAATGGTTTATCAATACGTGTACAAATTTAAATTAAATAACTATATTTATCATACTTTCCCAAAATCCCAACTTCCCACCTACAACAATGGGTGCCATCTTACCCCAGTACAGCTCTTTTTTTAAAAATGTGAAAATTTCATTTAAAAAAAGGTCCATCAGCGAAAAAGCTGGCAATGAATTAGTCCGTCGATGATAAGGCTAAAGGCAAAACAATTGATGGCGAATCGGTCCATCGGCTAAACAATCCGTCGGCGAAAAGGTCACAGCGAAATTGTTTCGGCGAAGTGTCCTAGACCCCATCAAAACGTTCACTATTTTAAAAACTTAATATATTTTAATCAATACGAAACTCAAACAGAATCTACTATAAACTAATCATAATTATAGATAGTAGATTTTTCTTTATTGATTGTTGTATTTTAACCATCCGCCCCCTCTGAAAAATTATCCCGAATTCGCCACTATTGGCCATGATGACTACTCAACTAAGTACCAATAATTTATACTACATAATTACAAACAGTGACATGTATAAGTAGGTTTCTTTGAGTCAATCGTCAACTATAATGGGTGAGCAGGTGGGTGACCAAATGTATTGTTTCTATTTGTATTGTTTTGCACAATTATAAAAAATGTTCAACACGCCGCTGTTACAAAATAATAGCAAAATAATTTCAATCAAAATGTTTTATACTGGCATGATATATATATATATATATATATATATATATATTATAATATATTGTATTGATATTTTGCTTGCATTATAATATATAATTTTCATTTAATACATTTAGTACCTCTCTCAAAAAATCCTAGGTACACCGCTGATAACATCGCATGTGGCATAACAATAAGAGATACATTCAAAGATTTTCACAAGTGTTCTTAGAATTTTTACTAAAGGTGTTGTACCCGCGTATGCTATTTGTGTTTTACAAATCCACGACATAGCGAATTTTGCGTTTATCAGGCCAAATTTTATGCTGTTAATTTTAGTAGTTGTAGAACAGTGAAATATTATTATATTAACAAACTTAAACGTGAAAACATTATATGTGTGTACGAAAATTTTGTTCGATGTTTTAATTTACATTAACTAAAACTGAAAATTGTATTAATTTCCAAGTAATTATAGAATGAATTACAATATTATTTTTAATGTTTTAACGAATTTTATTATACATTTTTTGCTTGAAATACTGATTTAATTAAAATAGAGATTAAACAATAATAACAATAATTTCCGTAAATGATTAAAAATACCTCGAAAATTGCATACATGCAGGATGCAGCTATAAATAACTCAAAAGCCGACAGAATATTTTGAAAATTGTACCACGTCTAGATAGTGCTATTATAAGTAATCGGTGAAAATTAAAAGTTACTTCAATTAATTTTAACTGAATTAAAACAAAACACCCTCCGTATCTAAACCACGAAATCGAAAATTAACAACTAGAAACCGTTTTACATGCGTAAATATGTCTGTTTTTCCACGTAGATCATAATACAGCACGGAAAATCAGAAAATGGCCTTCTCAATGCACCGACTATAATAATAGAACAGAGTTTTCTACCGGAACGTTCGTGCGGCCGGGGAAAACCGTTAAAATCGATTAGTTTACTCGACGCCGCCGTACAATAAAATATCTAACCGCGATATTAGCATAGTATATTATTGTTATTATTATTATTATTATTATTATTATTATTATTATATAGGTACCTGCCTAAACATTATTATACTGTACTCGCACACAGCGGGTCTTTCACTTTCGGACGACACTCCCGCGTTATCCTCCAAATAACCGTACACCGCCCCCTCCCTCATCGCTATCGCCAACGACACCACAACTCTGCACCAGCCTTCCGCCACACACAAACGACGGCCGTCGTGCGTATGCGAGTTTGCGCAAGCGCAACCCGAAGGACGGGTCGCGGAAAATTCTATCGGGTGTGCCCAAACTGCCCATAGATAATACTTCAAGGATAGGACGTACCGTACAAAATCGCACGCTTCAAAAGCATCCGGAGTAACCGTATAATAATGGTAGCACCATGATTTTATTTGGTTACTTATCGGTATCATTAATTTTTAATGACAATATCACGGTATCGTTTTAGTTATTATATATATTATAATACAATATTTATAGTTTTAAAAATACTAAAACGTTTAGTTATATATTTGAACCATTATAACTTTATGGCTATAAATAATATATAATACCACTAAAATGATTGTAACCAAATGCACGGTAGCTCTGGGGTTCTTTGGGTACGCGAACCCATGGGTTATTGTTATAGACGTATAATTATTAAGAAATATTCTACATTGTCTACGGCTATAGGCGTGTCCAAGATTATAGATCTCTTAATCAACATGAAAATCTCCCATCCTTATGTTTTAGTAAAATGGATGTACCACCGACTCACCATCAGTATGATATATATATATATATATATATATATCTGTGTATGACACTCATCATCATGATGGCACGGTACAGTATTACCCAGTGATCCTGGCAGAAAAGTATCATCATATGATTGACCTGCATACGATCGCCTTCCAAAATTTAGGTTAACGATCGTATTTGGTACGATAATTTATTTGGACAAATATGTATACATAATTATTTTTTAATTGAGCTAGGGTTCCAAAACCAAATGGTTACGAAAACTTTAAGACTATTTATGAAATATTTTAGATTCTGAGCGGAAAGAGGAATGTATTGGTGTTACAATGATGTAAGTATAAATTTGTTTTTTTTATCTATAAACACCTTTTCTACCAGAAATCTTTGAGACATCCCGGTTCGGTCGGCCTTGTTTTTGAGAGAACCGTCCCGAGCCAATTATTAAATCACATGTATATTACCATTCGTCCGGCCAGAAGATGTCCGCCCAGCTGACCAGATCGGGGCTCACTTCGTCGGTTCGTTTGAGGCACCATCAGGAAACGTGCCAAGGTACACGACCTTTACTTGATGGCAAATTATGTAAATCCGTGTAATAAACGGGAGTGTTTTATTAAGAGAACTGTATCGAAACACCGTCTGGTGAGAAGTCTTGAGACGAGGTTAGATTAGGTTAGATTTGCGCGGGGGGAATTATTGTTCATGATGACACAACATATCCGTCAATGCAAGCGTAATCTATTAACCGGTCGACCATATCGATTGTAGGTATGCTAGTCCTCTCGGCAAATGGTTGTTTTTGGACGTTACAGAACCCCCTACAGAAGTTTGAACCTCCCGAGGGAAAACTTCTGTAGAGAAAAGTAGCGTCAAAAACAGAAAGAGAAAAAGACAAGAAACTAAGAGATATCCGTAGCCTAACAAGCATTCAGGAATATATGTATATATAATTAAAATTAAAATAAACAACAGTTGTAAACGATACAAAAGGTCTCATTCCACCCCCCTATTGTTGACACGAGATAACTATTGATAAGCTAATTAATAAACATCGACTAGTGAATGGCTATGGATTCAAGCAGTGAATCCTGGGATTGGGTTTAACGCCGATTTAACAAATTACATGACTTCGTTTACCCCCAAAAGGGGACTTGGGTGAGAGCCACGGACTCCGCCTTGGTTATTGTGTTAACTTCCGGTGATATATATTTCCTTAGAAAAATTACATTATAAGTTCCGCGAACTTAAATTTTACCATAATCAAAAACGGTATATGCGTTAATAGCCTAAATTGAATGGATAACAAAAGGTTCTTCATAGAGTAGAAAGAATTTGTAGATTTGCCTATCTATAGCAGACAACAACAAATTGTGTGTTCGAACTAAAACCTCATCAGCTATTGCGAAACTGGTTGGAATTCCCTTACTATCATGCCGACGTTTTCGCTGCTCGGCTTTGGTGTTCTGGATTTCTCTAGCCAATATGTAATGTGTATTAAGATTTTCTTTACGGTCGGGGGGGAGTCTCTACTAAGATATCAAATGGATCATATCTCGTGGTTCTCATAGTTCTTGGGAAGTAAAACCCGTAGACTCGTGGACTGTATTATTGAGGACCCATTCTATGTAATGAATATATTTGGACCAACTTGTATGTTTGTCATGACAGTATGTACGGAAGTCTACCAAGTTCCCGTATTACTTTTTCGGATGGATTGCTTTGGGGGTGATATACACTGGTGGTTGATACTTGAATATCTGACTCGGTCAGTCGACTTTGCCAAATGTGGCTGATGAATTGTACTCCATGATCGGAGACGATGGTGGTGGGCTTTCCGTGGACTTTTACAAATTGATCGATCATGCGATTAGTTACTATTAAAGCAGTTGCTTTCTTAATGGGATAGTCGCACAAATCTAGTAAAACTATCGAGGACAACAAAAATATATTTATTACCATACCACGCCGTGGGCAATGGGCCAAATAAATTTTGGAAGGGCTCAATGGACAAAATATTTTACATAGCGCCTTCAACTCGAATAGTAAGAAACTTCGTTCCTTAGCAAAGGTTGCAACAGCGTACTATTTTTCATGTTCTTTTATATACTGAGGGGAAAAATGCAAATTTTTTTTATTGCGAAAATACACTTCTAAGTACCTACATGACCAACGTGTTGATTGTATACCTGTATTAAGGAACTGGCATATTGTCATGGAACATATTTTAGCCATTTGGTAAAAGACTGTGAACGTCAATGTTATTAAGATGTTATTAACTAACGCGTAATAGGGCAAGTTTTTGGGTCAGTGAGAGGACGAATTTCTTTTAAGTATCTGGACAAGCCTATCTAATTTGTGATCCACATGCCGATTACTTACAATGTGTTTCAAGATTTGCAAGTGGCATTTGATTTCATCTACCATGGGGTCGGTTCGCAGACAATTTATGGGTACCCGAGTGTTAGGTTCAAAATTAGGGTAGTGGTTCCTAGGGGGACTTTGCCTACACTGACTAGGGCGTCTAAAATTATTGATACCAGTATAACTATCATGATTTTGATTATCTTGGAAACTGTGAATGGGTTTCGTACGGGGATTGTTTGATACATAATGTTGATTGTTATGATTATTATTTCTAGCTCCGGGAGGGAAAGTGTCTGTTGAGACTGGAATGATGAGAGGTTTTGAGCGAACATTTTCACATAAAGATGTGGATTCTATCTCGGTTAGAATAGTGATCAGTTCATTAGTGGTTTTTGGATCTCTGCCATGAATAGCCATACCTAAAACAGTGGGGAAATGTTGGGTGATGATCCTTACAAGATCATATGAATTTACAAGGGGAGATAAATATTTTGCTTTGGCAACCCAAGCCGTAGCATGGCTAATCTTCGAGGGGATTTATATTTATATGGGGAGAACAACTTGTGACGTATGTGTCGTTGGGTGGACATGGACCAAAATTGATGCCGTAAAGATTGACTAATTCTATATAAGTATCGGGATAGGGTACTAGTGAATCAAACCATGTTCTTGCAAGTGCATATAAACGGCGTTGAAAAATACCTGTCTTCTGGGTATCATCTAAAAATTGATGGGCAAAATATTGATTTAACTGTTGCAAAAATTTTTCCGGGTGGAGATCAGATTTATTACCAATGAACTTGTGTACATCACTTAGTTTCTCTGTCCGAGAGAATTTGACAGAATGGATTGAGGGTTTAATAAAATAGTGGTATTCATGGGTGGTTGTAAAGTTAAAGTAGAAATGGAATTGCCGACTGCTGTTTTAATTTTATCAATTTCCACGGTAAATGATTGTTGGGTTGCCTCTAAAGAATGAATGCGATTAATAGGTTAGTCAGTTTGATTTCTACAGAGTTTAATTGGGCACTTAAGTAACTTTTCACTTCCTCCAGACTGGAACTTAATTTGGTTTATGTCTACCTATTTTCTTCTACACTGGCTTTCATTATGGTCATCACATAGAGTAAGGTTACTGTAAGGGGTTTATTAAGATTATTATCAATAGGGGCTTTAGGAACACTTGGGGGATTACTTTGAGTCATCTAGAGTCTACTAGACTATTTTAATTTTTCTTCAAGGGACAAACGTTCTTTTGCTTCCTTATTCTTTGAGCGTAGGCCTGCGAAAGCCAACATGGACAGGGTATACTAATTTTATAGAACCAAACAGTTCTAAGAATTTGAGAAAATAAAATAAATAAAGTAATGGAAATAGTAATAAAAAAGCCTTAGATATAAGGGATAAAGCACGCTTGAAAGTGATTCAAAACCCAAATAACGAAAACTCACGAACTCTAGCAAGTAAACAAAGAGAGACAAAAAAAACTATAAGAATAGCGAAGAGAAATTGGGAAACACAAAGAATAACGGAAAGAAAAAACAACAACAAAAATAACATAAGCCTTCTTTGAAAAAGTGAAGAATGTAAAAACAGGTTACATGCCGAAAACAACTATGATAAGAAAGGATGATGGAACTATTATAACAGATAAAGGAAAAATAGCGAACAAATTTAAAAATATGTTTGAGGAAATGTTGAATCAACCAGAAAATAGGACCACAGTAGAAGTTAATGTAACAGTGGAAGAATAATTGGACAAACCAACAATACAAGAAATTGAAAAGGGAATAAAAATGCTGAAAAATGGAAAGGCCCCTGGGATTGATGAAGTAGTTTCTGAATGCCTAAAAAAAGAAGGAAACAAGCTATTTCAACAACTCCATAGGCTAACCACCGATATTTGGGAGCAAGAGGAGATTCCAGAATCATGGAAGATGTCTGTCCTATGCCCAGTGTATAAAAAGGGAGACAAAATGGACCCAAAGAACTATAGAGGAATTTCTCTGTTAAACACTTCGTACAAAATATTATCTAACCTCTTATTAAACAGATTGAAACCATTTATTAAAGAAATTATTGGAGAATACCAGGCAGGTTTCATGGTAGGTAAATCGACTATAGATCAGATTCATATAATAAAACGGATTGCAGAAAAAAAGCCATGAATTTAATAAAGATGTACATATGCTTTTTGTGGACTTTAAAGCAGCATACGACTCGGTAGATAGAAAGAAACTGTGGAACATAATGTCCCGTTTGGGGATACCAGAAAAACTTACTAGAATAATCAAAGTGTGCGTACAAGGCTCTAAATGCAATGTGAGTTTTGGAGGAACCTACTCAAATAAATTCCCAGTGTCGACAGGTCTCAGACAAGGAGACGCATTGTCACCAGCTTTGTTTAACATTGCCTTAGTCAATGGTGAGACAAGTTCTTAGTAAGGCAGAAGGATTAAAACTTAGTGATGACAAACAGCTCACAATTGTAGCATATGCTGATGATCTAGTGATTATAACAGAAAATGAGGAGAGTCTGAAACAATCCACAAAAGAGCTAATAAGGGCAGGGAAAGAAATAGGTCTTAACATAAATGGANTAGTCAGGAAGAAATAAGAGAAAGATTGATAGCAGCAAACAGATGTTATTTTGGATTATCCATACTATTCAAATCAAAATTACTCTCAAGAAGATCAAATACAACATTGTATAATAAAGTTTTAATTAGACCTATAGCATTATACGTGTGTGAGACGTGAGCAACCACAAAAATAGATGAGAAGAATTTGGGTTTTTTGGAAAGAAAAATACTTCGGAAAATTTTTGGACCAAAAAAGAATGAAGGAGGTGAATTTGAAATTGGGACAAATGAGGAGTTAAGAGAATTATTTGGAGAAGCCGATATTATAGGAATTATGAAGAGTAGCAGAATAAGATGGGCTGGTCATGTTTGGAGATCTGAAGTACTGGGGAGCATAACAAAATGGAAACCAAACACAAAACGGCCTCGAGGAAGACCCAGACAACAGTGGGCTGATAGAGTCAAGGATGACCTCAGGATGATTGGTGTGAAAAATGCGGAGGAAATGTCGAGACAGGGAAAAGTGGAAGGATGTTGTTGTTGCGGCAATGGACCTTAATGGTCTTTAAGACGCCTTAGAAGATGAAGAAGAATATCTAAATAGAACAAAAATGTATGCCTCTGCAGGAGGTATATAAGATAGATATCAACAAGATATGTGAATTGGTGAAAGCGAATCAAAACTCAATTCAAACAATTGTATATATATATATATATATATATAAGGGTGGTCCGTTTGGCTGAACATCTTAAGGACTAGCATAGTTTGGTAATATTAAAAGGGAACGATACTTCTATAGCTAATAAAAAATAATAAACTAAACTATCTAAAACTACAAATGAATGCAAAAAATCCCAGATAAATGGGTAAATTAAACTAATCAAACTAACCTTCCAAGACAAATATATATATCAAGAACAAAAAATTGATGTACAAAGGACTATTCAGTCAACACTGGTGTAACTATATTCTTCCTACAAGAAGGGTATATATATATATATATATATATATATATATATAATATATACAACGAAAAAAGTAAATTGGATATCCCTTAGTTGAGGGTAAACATGGGGATATATATGAATATGGGGAAATAAAATATGTGAAGATCAAGGTATTATTCACAAATAACTACTTCATGTACTCTGACACGGTAAAACAGATGCATAGGCATGCGAAAAAATTTCTTTTTTTATCGACGGGAAGCAATCGGTTTGCTTAAATACGTAAGACTCATAAGGTACATTGGTATAGACTTCTTAACTGCTAAACGCAAATGTGTGTATGGGCCTGTAGGGACAATTTATAGGTACATGTATATATTGACAAAAGTTACCGGGGGGAAAAAAAAAAATTATTAAATATGTGTGGATATACACTTAATGACGGTACATTAAAATAAAAATATTAACTTTCAGAAACTGACAGATTGTAATGTTTTTTACCAACTAAAACCACCTCTCATACCAACACAACGCTGCTATTCTAGTTCCTCCCAGGGACTAAAATATCAAACACAACAACAAAAAAAAAACTAACTCCCTACCATAACAATTACTCAACATACAGGTGTATCGGGGGCTGGGGGTCTGTAAAGACGGAAGCCATACTCACACCGAAAAAAAAAAAATAAAATATCAACCGGTGGCTGGGGTTCACAATTGGAAGCCATACCTACACGAACAAAGAAAAACTCTCCCTGCCACAACATAACATGTGTTGAGTGATTTCTCGCCTGCCGAAAGAGGAGAACTAGCGTGCCATAAATAAAATAAATAATGATAATTACCAAAAGAACTAAAGGGAACAAATATTTATTAAAGGGAATTATATAATATTCTATTGCAGCTCGGGCGATTATTAAATGGGTATTGGGTTTGTCAATATATATATAACCAGAATAAGTAACAAATTTTGACCGTTCATAGTCACTGTAATAATGGGAAAAATAGAAACATTAATTACAGGTACACACAATGCGCGCACAATAATAATCTTATCTTAGTTAATAAAAATTACGGCGGCGGGCGACGGATATGTTATTGTCGTGATGCCGTAGTTGATCTTGGGACTAGGCCTGTATGCCGTTGACGAAAATGTTGATTGGGACCAAAACATGCGATCTTTAGAACACACATCTTTGGACTCGCTTTGGACCGTTAAAGTACCGGCGTATTAAAGAATACGAGAATAGAACCGTACTTTCCTGCAAATAGTTAAAAAAAAAAGCTACAAAAGGTTCTTGGAAAAGTAATATTGTGGCCGATAACCCGTTCGATAACTTTGAGAAATATACATAAGCACGTGATTACGGTATTGGGGAATTATTATATAACGGGAAAATATAGGTACATGTTTATACACAATTCAAACTACATGAAAAGAAAAAATTAAAACATAATTCGTACCTATTTCAACGGAACAACATCTAACTGTTTTTCGTACTGCCAGGGAAATTAACAGAGAAATAGAGTATTAATAACTTAAACAAAATAAATTATAATTTCGGATCCTGGCAAGGTCACCATCTGAGACGTTCCGGTTCGGTCGGTCTTGTTTTTGAGAGAACCGTCCCGAGCGCCACCTGACTACCCGCCTAGGAGCAAGGTCGCAAACCTAGAATCGAGGTCCGAAGACCGTAGTCCTAAGATTTTTTTGTTAGTAGGGAAAAGGGAAAATCTAAATATATAAATAAACACGTGTTTTCTTTTAGGGAAAATATAGAATTATTTTAATAAATCATCAATCAAAATTTAAAGTGACGTTAATGCAACAAAAAAACCCAGGGGCATAAAAACTATCAACTGATAGAAAATGAATAGTAGGTACGATTCTGACATAGATATACATAGGACAGATATCTCCAAACAACTTATATTTGATATACATATATTAACTGGAGCGTCGATCAGCCTTAAAAATTATAGTCAGGACGCAGGTAGTGATCCACATCCACGTGTGTGCCGACAGATATGTGTATGGACTGAGACGGACCACCACGTGGAACTTTCGTGGACACGTAGATATTAGGGAGACCCCAGCAAGAATGTGAGGTCGCCAGGTCACACAAATCACACCCGGGAAGGGTAGCTGAACGCTCTTATTCCATGTTGACTGGTTCGAGGTTTTGGTGGCCCTACGGGTTAACCTGCAGGGTGCGTCCGAATATGGATCGCGAGGTGGGGAAAATCGATCGGTATTATATACATTCTTTTCATGTTTAGATACGCACACACACGTTGCGAAACTTAGTACTCAAAGGGAATAGAAAATAAAAATAAGAAACAAAATGCGGGGGGGGGTTGGCCTATCGCACAAAGGATGTGGAACGCGGGGCTTATTACAATGAGACGGACACAAAAAATCTAATAGACGCTGATTGATCCAAGTAAATATAGATCGGAAGAATTTAACATACGGGAAAAAAGAAACATTTTAGATAAAAATATTTATACGGGGGACCTTAACTGAACTACTTTAAAAACTAACCAACGGGGTATCGGCCAATTATTAAATCACATGTATATTACCATTCGTCCGGCCAAAAGATGTCCGCCCAGCTGACCAGATCGGGACTCACTTCGTCGGTTCTTTTGAGGCACCATCAGGAAACGTGCCAAGGTACACGACCTTTACTTGATGGCAAATTATATGAATCCGTGCAATAAACGGGAGTGTTTTATTAAGAGAACTGTATCGAAAGACCGTCTGGTGAGAAAAGTCTCTAGACGAGGTCTAGACACGAAGAAGGAGAGGAACGAACAACTAAACGAAAATTGGTATCGGAGCGCGGTGACGTTCGTGGCACACGTCGCCGCGGGCCGACGTTTTTTGGCGATAAGGGGAAACGTGATCTGATTGGCCGTTAACCCGTAGTTAGGAATATGATATTATTGTGAATTGCAAAAGATTGCGATGGCATAAATCTATGCGCGGGGGGAGGGGAATTATTGTTCATGATGACATAACATATCCGTCGACGCGGGCGTAATCTATTAACCGGTCGACAATATCGATTGTATGTATGCTTGACCTTTGATTACGGAAAATGGTCGTTTTTGGATGTTACAACCGGTTTTTAACCTTTCATTTATTTTACATATGATGCAATATATCACGGAAAAATAATATCGCAGCGGATATATAAGTTCAACATTTTCTAAATATATATATATTTACGTCGTGGGACCTGACAAAGAACGGCGCATATTATTGAAAACACTGGATTTTTCAAAATGTGTTTAGTAGTGTGATTTTAAAAATGTCATAACTCGGAATACTCGGAACATTTTTATGTGGTATTATTTTCAAATCGGGTTTTAATATAAAAAAAACTAACGCACCTATGGCGAACAATAATCACAAGATATCGCATAACTTATCTGATATCTTAGTTCTATTTTTATTTTTTAGGGCCGTGCCTACTCACCAGCATAAACGATTTTGTTTATCTAGTTGATAACTGAACGCGATTGGTTGGTTATCTCATAATCTACGTTTAAAAATTAACGTTCATGTTGATAAGAACGGCCCTAAGTCTTTCACGGTGACTGAAGTAAATCTTACATAAAATCGAAATTTTGTCTGTACATACGTCTATATATACAGATGTCATTCCGATCTCGATAAAATTTCGCTATCTACTTTTTGGTCTCCAAATGCAACTTCTAAAAGGTGGCTGACACAAGGATTCCGGTATTTGTGGAACGAAATTTTAATTTATTTTTTTTTTTTATGATTGATCACCTTGGTGACACGGCTGAAAAAACAATTATCACGCTTCAATCGACGAGATAGACAAGGAATCTTTTGAAAGATAAATAATCAGTCAATGATTAACAGCGATAGGGATACGGATGAAAACGGAAAGACACGTTCAATTGAATTTCTTTTATTGATTTATGTTATCAAAAAGATTGAGTCTAGGAAATACCTTGTACTTCAGCCAGTGGCGGCTCGTTTATATGTGCACAAGTGCACGTGCACTACCTACCCAAACTCAAGAAAAATTGAAAACATAAATCATAATAATACAACTAACTACTAAGTACCTGTAGTATTATTAAGATTATTTTTCAAAATATAAAATTATAAAAATTCACAATATTATGAAAATAATATAATATTTGGTTTGCGTTATTTCGATTGCCAAATAGCCGGACCGTTGTCCGCGACGGAACAGTATCGGTGTGTATTATAGTGGTGGGAGTTGTGCACATTTGTACAGTGTAAAAATTAAAACAAGCCGAAACACGCAACCCGCGTTATAATGGAATTAGTGTGCACATTTGTTTCTGTGCGCAAAACCAATTAAATTGTTATCAGCGAATTATTTTCGACGTCGCCGTGTCGTTGCGCGTCGGCATCNACGTTTATTATTATTCGTGTATTTGTTTTCAATTTTTAAAATGAATTCAGTACAGAAAATACTGCAATGCAATTTTTCAACAATCTCGTTGGGGAAAAAGATGGAAATAAAAAATAAAGGTAGGCCTACTCCAGACTTAAATATTAAACAAATTACTAAATGTAAAACGAGAGAATATGTAAGAAAATTTAATAATAATATATATAAAACCTATGACTGGATTTGTGGTTGTTCAGAAACTAATCGTTTGTATTGTTTTCCCTGTTTACTTTTTGGTCAAAAATTTAATGATGTCGCTTGGGTAAAGAATGGAAATAAGAATAAAAGGTAATTGGTAAATAACTAAAGTTTGTAAACAATTATTTAATACAATTTATAATATATTATGTTTAATATTGGTTATATTTTTTTTTTTTTTTGAGGGGTGTGCACTACTTCATTAAAAACCCACGAGCCGCCACTGACTTCAGCTATAAAATATTATATGGAGCAGAGGTTCTCAAACTTTTTTTCCGTATACCACTTATATGTATTATGGACTGTTCGTTATCATCGAGTACAATATTACGTATTTGATTCGTATAATGACAGCCGTGTAAAAATAATATACTAGTGTTTTCAGAGATTTTCGCAAAATATAGGTACCAACTAAAGTATAAAATAGATTGGTAGACACTTTTTAAAACCGAGTGAAATCGCGCTAAATATAAAGTTGGTGGCGTAAAAGAAAACCCCTTTAAAATGTACGTACCTATCTATCTACCAACCTATATTTACCAGATATGTTAAGCCTTAACGAAAAAAAAAATGTAAGTTCTTAAAATCATGTAATCTGACAACAAAATGATAGAATATTACACAAAACAAATTGATGGAGGTAATGTTTAAAAGTGCATATCAGCAATTTTATAGAAGGGTTACTGGTTAGGTCACGAGAGAAAACTACTACGGATCATTTGTTACACTATATTTTGAAAAACGATCAAATTATTGGTGTAACCACGTACTATAATTTATTTTACCGTGGATTTATAAAAAAATATATGATTTATTTTAACAAAGTAATCTCTTATCGATAAACACTTAAACTTTTTTTCAGAATTGTACAGATAACAGGTCTTTAAAATATTAACTGTCTACACTAAATGTTTTATTGACCATTTTTTACCCTCATCCAGCCAGTATAGAATTATTTTATCTCCATTCTTATTAACATGGACTATTATTATAATCTTTTGACCCCTCAGTACCTAGGTACCTATTATTAAGATTAAATATATGCATGTAATGCTTCAAAATGTATAAAATTAGTAATTAGGATACTGTATAACAAGTATTGAATACTAAAAAGGTGTTCAAATAAACAAATGAGTGCATGTTTATAGGGGGAATCTTAATTAACCTAGATATAAATTAATTGGAAATTAGAAGGTCCAAAAGGATAATAATATAGTTCACATAAAATTAGTAAACAGAATAAATAATATTCAAAAAAATACAATTTAAAATTAATATAAAAACAAATTTTAGTTATTGTAGCAAGGCTTTTGGTTAAACATTTTTTACCAACAGACAAAAATAAAGCACACATTAAAGTAAAATCAATAAAATAGATAGATTTAAAACAATATATTTTTATTTGAGCAAGTGGTTGCTATTATAATTTTAATGTTATCTAGTAAAATCCTAACATTGATACCAATGACAGGTTAACCTAACCTATAACTAAAAAAATAATGGATGGGTTTACAACACCCAAAACCCCTCTGAATACACCACTTGATACAATAAAGATACTTTTGTTTATATAGGTAAATTTTAAAGTGGTTACTTTTAAATTAGAGTTTAATTGTGGTTCCAAGTAAATTTTAAAAAGTTCTAGTTAAATTTGCATATTTAATTAACATTTCAGTTATGTTAAAATTAATATTATTATTATTGTACCCAAATAAAATAAATGTATTTATTACATTTTTATGTCTATATGAACAAGTTACAAATATAAAATAAAAAACAAACTGACAAACTTTGTACAATGGGTGGGTCACTGTCTTAGGTGAAAATTGAAAAGATGGAGGGGAAATTTAATGTATATCTGTACGCAAAGATAAACCATTGTTAACAAAACTCAATTCTGAGCAGGGCTGGTTAAACAATTTTGAATGGCCATAATATTTTAGACTTGAAAATAATACATTTTGTACATTTTCTCATTTTTATTCCCATTCTCCTTAAGAAAACCCCAAAAAATGACTCCCCAAAGTACCACCATAGTCAGATTTTCTTTCAGAAAAAGTGCTATACTTGAAAATCTATTTATCACTAAGTATCATACAACCACCATGCATCAATAAAATATAGTCCATAAAAATAATCAATTACTTGCCCAATAATTAACTGCCCGAAAGAGGAATTTAAGCCAGCTGACACAAATCTGACTGACTGATATCTACTTTAAATATTTAATAATATAAATTAGGTATACAAAAAAGTCAAATAAACAATTTTAAATCTTATTTTGGTACACTTATTAGATACATACATTTTAATTATATGAGAAAATAAATAATACTTACAAATGGAAATGGTAGACAAAAAAATTCTTAAAAAAAATGGATAAGTAATATATTTTTGTTTATTATTATTTAATAGAAAAGTTTGTAAAATAATTATCTATTGTCATAAAATAGATTAGGAATCAATATTATTGATATAAAATACTTGTTTTTTGTTTTTTTATTTTGAACTCTTTTTTTCTTTTTTATACTCTTTAAGTAACTTTTTTAAAAAAGCATAGTCTGGTTTCTCAGCGGGTTCCATGCTATAAATAATTTTCATGGATCTAAAATAACCTATTAATAACAACAACATTCAATCAGTTTAAAACAGATATTTAAACCTAAGATAATAATTACAATATAATACTAAAGGAATTACATAGGTAATAATACATATTATTAAAAATATATTAACTCAGAACATATATGAAATTAATAAGAATGGCATTCTTAAATAAAAAGAAATACATATGTTCCCCAAAAAAACACTACACACAAATAAATTGTAAAATTAGAACTTAATAGGTATATTCTAATAAAAATTAAATTTCAAAGTTAAACATGATAATAATATTATTAACTTCAATAAAGTATAATGTCTTTTTTCTATTGTAAATAATAATATAAATGTATTAGGGCGGTCCTTATTTTTGATCTTTCAAAATTGTGAGACAGGTAGTACCCATAAATTTTTTAAGTCCACTAGAAAAAAATTTAACCAAAATTTGATTATGATTACCAACAAAGGAGATAGACTTTACGTCCCTCCAGAAGGTTGAAAAATCACCAAAGAGGTTATTTTAAAGTTTTTCGAATTTAAGTAAAAAAAATAAACCATTTTGCACTTTAAAAGACCTTTGTTTTAGAAATCAGAAATTCCAAAAATGTATTGAATTTAGTTTAATCATCGCGTTGATGACCGTGTTGGTCATCAAATAATTGTACCCGATATGATAGAGAAATTCACAGAATGTGAAAGTACTCACTTAACTTAATAGTACAAAATTTAATTGAACATCTTCTACCTTAGTCACTGAAAGGATTGCATCCAATTCTATTAATTAATTTATATATTAAGTCCTCTTTCTATTTCTCTGCCATCCAAATTTAAACTCATAAAGCTTGGTCGATCACAGTCTATTAACCCTAGACCACTCAAAATTTTCCTAAATATTAAGGAAGAAGTTTTAAATATCCTGTCAACATTCAATACTACAAAACGTTCTTGTCCCTCAGTCACAATTTCCATTTCACGGAACCGTACTTTGATGGAATAGAAGCTAGTACATCAGACATATGCAGAATTCAAAGACAGGACTGATAAAGGTGAATCAAACATTAGAATCAGATACTCTAACAGAATTCCTCATATTGTCAACCACCATCACGATGTCAACAGATCAACTTCAAAAAACTAAGTAAACACCCTCAACCTTCATTTGATATCTTCCTCACTGACCCAGATTCTCAGCACACTAATATTTATGATTATTTTAATTTATTTACTTATAATTCAAACTTTTCTATATGTATTGCATATTTACCTAAGATATCTGAATTTTTTAATTTTACAAATACCATTAAAATTAAGACGACAATTGCTCCATTTACTATATTTACTCTTATCAAATTTAATTTAAATATCTTTTACCAAAACGTGCATGGCCTTAGGACTATACTTAACGATCTTACATATAATTTTCCTACACTAGGCACCTACGACATCATTGTCTTGACTGAGACATGATTATTTCCAGAACTACTTGACTCTAAAATCAGTCTAACAGACTTTCAGATATTCCAACTGGACAGGAACTCTAGCAAAAATACAGGCTCCTGTGGTGGTGGTGTTCTCATTGTCATTAGATATAATCTTAAGGCCTCACTTATAACAACTGATGTCAATTGTATCGCACAACTTTTTATTATTTTATCATTTAACTTTATGCGTTTTTTGATAGGAGTTGTCTATTTACAACCCTTTAGTTTGGCTAATGACTGAGTTATATACATCTTATGTTAAAAAACAAGTAAACGTTTTTATCCCTAATAACGTTATGTTATGTGGAGATTACAACCTCCTAGATGTCACTTGGTCATTTGACAATCTCGGTCTCATTCCGTCAAACTCTACATCTGCTTCAGCGGCAATCATTGCTGATTCATTTTCATTTCTAAACTTATTTTAATGTAACACAATCTTGAACATGTATAATACCTTATTGCATCTCATGTTTTCAAGTTCAAACAATAAATCTGTAACACAAGCTACTACTCCCTTAGTTAAACCTGATTTCTACCATTCACCACTAAAAATTATTTTCCCTCTCATGTCAATCTCTGTACTACCCAGTGAACCCTCTGAATATCATAATTTTAAAAAATTGTGATTATAAGGATGCCTCAAAAATGTTTGAGTCCTTTAATTGGAATGCAACACAAATGACACAACAACCGTTTTTAGTGATGCTTTATATACATGTATAAGGCAGTACATTCCACTTAGAATATCAAAAAAACCTAAATTTTGAAGCTGGGTTAACACCGAATTAATAAGTTTTATTTATAAAAAGAAAAAATCGTACTTGAAGTTCAAAAAATCAGACCTACCATCTGACTATAATACATTTTTTGAAATCTGCGCTAATCCGAATGTCTCTCTAAACTAAATTATCATAAATATATCAGCAACAACAAATCTTCCCTATCTGAATTACCTCGTTCCTTTTGGAATTATGTAAAGATCTAAATCATAAACAAATCATTCCCTCATGTGTAAGTCTTAATGAATCATTGGCCAGCCCAACTGAGTCTGCCAACCTATTTTCGAACACTTTTCTTCTATCTTTACCCAAACAATAGCCTCTCACTCTCAGACCGCACAACCTAAATTGTTATTTAACCTACCTCCAACCTCAACTTTCTTTTTCCATGATATACTTTCGCACTAGATGACTTAAAAACAAACACTCTAACAGCTCAGATGGTATTTCTGTAAGCCTCCTTTACAACTGCCGTTACTCCTTAGCTTTACCTCTCTTCCTACTTTACCAATATGCTTTCGATAATAGTATTTTCCCTGGCATTTGGAAAATCTGTTCCATTACTCAGATTTTAAAATCTGGGGACCCATCAAATGTCACCAATTACTGTCCTATATCTATTCTATCTCACCTATACAAAATTTTGAACTAATTGTGTTTAATAATATTAAAAGATAATTTTATCATGTTTTAATTGATGAGCAACATGGTGTTTCATCACGGTAAGTCAACAATTACTAGCAGTGTTGTTTTTACAACCTACATTAGCGATTGCCTTAAGGTAGGCAATCAGGTTAATGTTATTACTACTGACTTTAACAAAGCATTTTACACAGTTGACCACGAACTATTAATTAACAAATTGGAATGCATGGATGTTGACAATTCACTGTTATTCTGGTTTAAATTATACATCACTGGCAGGAAACAATTTGTTTCTATTTTAGGCTCCAGTTCTGAAATTTATGCTATTTCTTCAGATGTTCCTCAGGGTGGCCACCTTAGCCCATTATTATTCTCTCTCTTTGTTAACTCTTTATCCCAGTGGCTTACACAAGTTAAAATACTGTTTTATGCTGACAATATAAAAATATTTTATCAAATTCGCTGTCCTGATGATTCTTTACTGCTCCAGAGCGATCTAAACACATACTCCAAATGGGTTTCCCAGCTTGACCTATCTTTAAGTTTAGCTAAGTGACATGTAATTTCTTTCTCCAGAGCACGCTGCCCTACTCTTCCTTCTTATTTTTCAATAGCTCTAATTTAGAACGCCTTTATAGTATTAAAGACATAGGATTTAATTACTCGGCTAATCTCAGCCTTCACATCACCATTGTAGTGAATAAAGCATTAAAAAATTCTCGGATTTATCATTCATAACACAAAATTATTTAAATCTATCAGGTGTTTACGCACTATATAATTTGCCTTAGTTTAATCACAACTTGAATACAGATCAGTAGTCTAGAAGCAATACTTAGCAAAGGATTTATTTCATCTGGAACATGTACAAAATAAATGTTTAAACTATGCAGCTTTTAAATTTAATATCCAACATACACCCCACAATTATTCAAACTCAAGGCAGGCCTTAAACATACAAATGCTAACCACCTGTCATGATAAAGCTGATTTGGATTTCTTAGAAGCTTTTTTAAACAGTTCCTTAGATGTACCTGATCTTGCTATCACACAATTTAAAATCCCAGATTATTCCTCCAGATCCCAATCCCAATTATTTATTCTAACACATAAAACCACCTATAGTCACAACCATATATTGAATCAAATGCTAAGATCTGCAAATAACGATTAATATCTTATGCCACGTACTTCATTAATTTGTATTTTCAATATTGTTTAATTATTATATTTATTTATTTATTATCTTTGGCGTATATATTTTATTTTATTTATTTATTTATTTTTATCTAATTAATAATTAATAATCACATACCCTAATAAGCTTTGTAAATTTTACAATTTAAACTATTAAGTAAACAATTGTATCTTTCATAATTATGTTCAACTGCCGTTCAGCGTAAATAAACTAATAATAATAATAAAATACACAATATTCTTAATTTAAATATCAAAAGTGGTTTATGCATTTTTTTATTGCTTCATTTCCTAGAAGTTTTTTATTAAATTTATTATAGTTAACTAATTTTTTTTAAAATAATAATTTAATTTAATGGAGCTACAATTGGATCGAGTAAACATATCCATGTCTCTAAATAGCAAATAATAATGAAACAACATATTTCTTGAAAATTTATTTTTTCTAATAATGTAAGTTTTAACTATTCACAAACAAAATTGTATGGCAATATATTCTTTTGCTATTCATTAAGGTAAATGGTTTGCCCCTGGAGGTCGAAACAATGTACCTTGGAGAAGTGATTCTCCCAAAAATCTAATAACAAGTTCTATAAATTCTTTATAGTCATCTCTTGGAAAACTTTCTTCAATTTTTTTGTACAAAATAATAAAACATTATCTACTACTTCTTTTAATACATCAAATACCTCAGGATATGATTTCAACATACAAAATTGATGTTTATCTAAATTTGAACAATATGCTTTACAGGTAATCCTTATTTATTTGAATTTATTAAATAATTATTCAGTAGTTATCACTTTATCAATCATAATTATTTTTTATTATAATTATAGATTTCCATGATTACAGAAAGCAATAGCCAGGATATCCAGGATTTAAATAAACTTGTTCAAATTTAAATGTATTAAAAAATATTTTTTTATTAAATATTTAAGACTTAAGATCGATTTAAACCAAATTAAATTCTTTTGAGGATATTTAATTTTGATGAATATTTATGGAAAACATTTAACTGTATTTTCAACATTATAACAAAAATATTTAAAAAACTAACATTTTTTTTTTATTTTTCATTTCTCCAAAAAAATAATTTATTTTGAGAATCTATGAAGACATTTTTTTTTTTGGAAATTTTGATTTCTATACTAAATGTCCTTAAAAGTTTTATGCTAAATGCTTTATTTTTTTTACTTGATTTGAAAAAACCATAAATATACCCTCTTTGGTGAATTTTCAATCCTCTTGAGGGACCTGAAGAAGGTGGAATCATAATGAAATTTTGACTAAATATTTTTTTTTGTGGTAATTAAAAATTAACGAGTACTTGGATCAAATATTCTATTTTTTATTTTCCTATATAACTTAAGACTATCATAATATTTACACATATATAATACTTACAATGCGGTACTTTATCATAATTGTAGATTTTTTCTTTTGGTCCTGCTTTTAATACTTCATCTTTCATTTCTACTTTAGAAGTTATAGTTTTAGACAATGTTTCACCTTTCCATGGTAACTTAAGTTTTAACCACTCCAAACCATTGTACATAAGACTTTCCAAATCTGCACGACGAGTATGCACTACGAAATAAACAATTAAAAATATTATGTAACAATATATTTTATTTGTTTTAGAATAAGAATTTATTAAATAAATTAGTTTTAAACAAAACTCACTTCCAACATGACCATCTAAAGCAATATACTCCAATGTACCATTGTTCGCCAATTTTTTATTTGGTACAACATTTTCAGTTTTATACTTAGTTACCATACCAAAATCTCCTAAATATACATGATTTTCTTTAGGCTTTTTACCCACAAATATATTTTGACTTTTAATATCCCAATGAACATATCCACATTCATGTATGTACTCCAATGCATCAATCTGCACAAAAAAAAAACTTGTTAAAAAAGTTACAAAGTAAAAATGTTGCTTGGTTGATTACCATTTGTCGAATAATGTTAATGACAGCTCCTAGCAACAAATTATCTGAAACACTTTTTAAAAATGCTTCTAGGTCTTTGTCAAACTTTTCAATGACAATAAACCTATACTTATTAAAATTGTAATCAATACTTCCAAAACCATAAAAACTTGGCAACGGTAATTCTATTAGTTTTTTATCTAATTTCCAGCCATTGATACCTTAAAATAAAAGCACAATTTTTTATTTAGTTACAGAAATGAAATATTTGCGTATGAATAATACTTTCTGCTTTCATGTTTTTTAGATAAAACATTCGTTCTACAAATAGTGGTCCACTCTCCATATTTTCCTATCAACCCAAAAAAAAAAAAAAAATGAAGAGCAAATTATTATGTAAATCTAATTAGAATATAGTAAAATGAACAATGTACATATTTTAAGCAAAGTGTAATACTGAGCAATTTTATTCCGTGAATTAAAACAATTAAATAATTAACATTTTTTGTTTACATTTGCATTTGTTTGACCATAATTATTTGTACATGATAAACAAAGGCTTATAAACTAACAAAATTTGTATGTTTTTCTATGCTCTATTTTAAACAGAATTAGTTAATCTATAATATTCCTATTATTTTTTTTAGGATTTTTGTTGAATAAATTAATATAACTATTACCTTTATCATTATAATATAAGACAACAAAAATTCTAAAATAATATAATAGGTACCTAAACCAAGACAGTGCAAATCAAACCAGCACATTTAACATAAAAAAAATATGAATTTTATAATTTCACAGTAAATAAATAAATAAAATAATAAATAATGATAAAATTTAACAATTTGTTTTTGTAGAATGTATTATTAATTCCAAAGCAATGTTTACAAAACATTAATAAAATAAATTATTTATATTATTTAATTTCAAATTGCCTATAAATTATTGTCTGACACATACAACTAAAAATTAAACCAAATTAACTCAAATAACTTACTGTTTTAATTGCATATTCTTGTCTTGACCGAACACCGTGTTTAGTTCCTAAAATTAATATTATTTAAAATATGAAAACTAAAAATGTATTTATATTACTAACCACGATAAACATATCCAAATCCTCCACTACCAATTATATTTTGAATCTCCCATTCATTACCATTGGTATCTTGTAACACTGTACCTTGCGGTAATTCTTCCTTGGGAGTTGTCTTTGCTCTTTTACTCATTTTCACCTTTAATTTAAATTTAAACCATTATAATATGTGTTATTAAACATAGGTAACTGTTTAAGACTATAACCAGAGTCAATCTACAGAGTAACTTTAAAATATGAGCTTAGAAGCAAAACTTAATATGTCTCAATAAGCTCTTCTGAAATAAAGCCTTTCAAATTGTATGGCAATAGATTTATTGCTTTGCATTTTAATTTTTATAATATAAAAAACTTTTTGTTATATATCCTAAACGTTTCTCACATTTAATTTCTTATGGATATAAAGGAAAATATAAGATATAACTCTTGACAATTCAAATGTGAATATTTATTCATGGAACCGGTGAAATTTTGGTTTTTTAAATATTGAAATTCTATGTATATTTAAAAAAAATTAATACAAAAATGTATTTTTGATAAGGACTGAGCTGAACGGAATATAAATATTTAGAATGATTGATAAAAATAAAATAAAACAGTTACTGTTGGAGAATTACGAACAAAATGATTATCTAAAACCATCAATCACATAAACTATACAAAAATAAGCTATACAAATTACTTACAGGGTGGTTTTTTATGCAGCAAATGTCAATATCAATCAAAAATATGGATCAGTTAAAAACAGAATTACAATAATCAAAAAATTGGCTTACTCGGTTACTCGGAATACTTAAAATCACATACATCAAAATATGATAAAATGATACCTACAATATTTTTCGTTTCTATTATATTTAATATTATCTGTTTTAAAGTCGTGGTTTTAAATTTACCGACAACTACTGGCCATGATGATAAAAATTGATAATACCTATTACCATTATTATCATAATAGGGATTATCTCGGAATTGGACTTTTCGACGTTACTGATTTTATGATAAAGGTATATATGTTCATAGTACAAACAATCAATACAATAATATGTTTTAGTAAATTATTTTTAGTTTACTTGATATCATAATTCATAACTATTCAAAAAATCTATGTATTTTTGTTAATGTTATATTCGTAAATTGGGCACCAGCCGTTATCATTTAAATAAATAAATATGAAATTCAATTGAATTGGTAGGTATGTTTAATAATAATATAGTAATGTACAAGTCTAGAATACAATGTAACAGTTTATACATTTATTTATTTATACAATAATAAATTTGAAAAAAAAAATTGCTTTTATTATTATTTTCATTAATCATCAAACAATCTCTAATTAAATAATTAATTAATTAATTATTAATGATGATTATTTTAATGAAATGTTTTCCTGAACATGTAGTAATGTACTTTGTAATGTAATATGCGCCTACATACTATAAAACCCTCTCCTCAAATGCTATGAAAATTGTTTATTTGGTACTTTACCAATTTATCCTACAATATGGCATAACTATGTGAGGTGGTGCCTTCGAAAAAACTCTAAAACCGCTAATTTCATTACAAAATGGAGTTGTTCGTATCTGCCTTAATAGAACAGTTTGAGTCGGATCTACTAATGATAACTATAATGAACTGGGTGTACTTTAAAATTACTACATAAAAAATATTCTACATCATTTACTTTAAAAAATCATTCTAAATTTGATTTGAATTTAAGTAAACGTGAATCTATAAGATACGATCTAAATGTCAATCTGTCAACTATTCAAAAAAAGGTATTGGTCAGAAATGTTTGCACTATTTAGGACTTACTTTTTTTATAAACTTAAGAATCTAATTTTATATAATTCATGTCATTGTGATTTTCATATACAATGTAATCGCTTAGAAAATAACTCTCGCTACCTTCAACTCAAACTCTGTCAGGAGACAGTTAAAAAAAAAAGGGAAATATAAAAACAAACTGAATTACAAAGTGCTATTATTAGTTAACTCATTGTAAACAATGAATTTAAACACAAGACATAAAAAAAAATCAACAAAATTTGGTAGGTATTTTATTAATTTTGACGTAAATCGTAAATAAGACCGTAATATTTACTTACGGTCTTATTTCAAAACATGTAAAACCAAACTCTGCTCAGAATCGTTTTTCGTTGGCAAAGATTAATTGTTGTATACACGTATATGTATATTAAATTCCCCTCTATATCCTATCTTTCCAACTTCTTATCTATAACAATGATCCACCCATTGTGCAAACAGTATGTCTGTCTTTTTAAGGCGCCATTTATAAAGCTTGCCAAGTTGAACTGTAATCTAATATAATTTCTATGCGAGTTTATAACCAAAAATATATTTAGCATAGTCAGCGAACATAAAATCATTTATGGAGGTATAGGTATCAAAAATACTATGCAAATCATTTATAAATTAAATTAATAATAACAAATCTAAAAATCTAAATTTTGAAACCCCGGAGTTGACTTTGTTATCAGTTGGGACTATGGAAAATAATTTTATGACTTAACACGTTTTTTAAAAATTGATATTTTCGAAGACACGAGTAATGTATTATCCAAGCCGGGACTTAAAGAATATCGGGACAGCATACTTAAAACTGGTAGTGTCCCGGATAAATCGGAACAAATGGCAGCCCAAGTATAAACACCACTAAATATTGTACCTAATAATACATGCAAATATTAAAGAAATTACAGATTTTTATTTTTAATGATTTACAACAATATATTATGAAAAAGCTATAAAGATAAGCAATAACGTTGAAAGTCAAACCAGTCAAAAAATAACGAGAAAATCTAAAAAGTTATATGATTATAAGAGTAATGATGATCAATAAAATTAATAATGGTAAAGGTTTATTTAAATGAGATTAATTTATTATTATTCTTGATCAAGCTGTTATTTCAATAATGAAAAATGTGTACAATTTAGATGGTATGAAGATAAATTTGATTTTTATTCAATATTCATAAAATTAAATTAATACCTAAATGATGAAGAACTAATTCAACATTGTAAAGATTTGCAAAATAGTTTGTCTGATGGTCACTTAAAAGATATTAAGGCATTACATTTGCATACAGTATTAATTTGTTATTTGAAAACATGATCGCATAACAAACTTTAGAAATTATAAAAAAGCTCAGAGTTCTTTAAGAATGGTGGATCTTTGAAGGGTGATAGGGGTAATCCCTCCCCTGTTCGCTCTCAAATGTACATTGCTCCATTATACTCAGAGTTTGATTTTCATCATAATTGTATACCTTAAGACTTTTCCAGAACTAACCTTCCAATCTCAAAGGAATTCTCTTACTTATAACACACTTAATCCTATGTTGCACATACTCATAAAAGTCAATATTTATGTAAAAAATCCTAGGTACTTAAAGCTCTCAATCTTGCCTATTATGTCCACACTTATTGTCATTAGGTGTCTTATCCTCATAAGTTTTAAGAAACAGGAAACTATTTACTGTTTTACTTCTACTTATTCATAATTCTTTTCCTTCAAAATGGAACTCTCCATTTCTCGTCTATTGTTAACTTTTCCATATTTTCTTCTATCATCTATATCATATGTAAACAGTATGCACCATTGTATCTCTCCTCTCACCTGTTGTTACTACCAAATACATCCGAAATAAGACAATCCCATAGTCTTGTTTAGAACTCCTCATACCGTTTACCAGACCTTTACATAATCACAACGGAAAATATGTAACGGCTCAAGGCCTAATGTACACCTACTTTTATCCAAAAATTGTCAGTTTATCACACAGTTCTTACAGTTGTATTTGAACCTTCATACATATCTTCTATCAAACTAATATACAATCTCGGAAATATATGTTTTTTAAATTATATGTAAAGGAAAAATATTTTTTTGTTTTATTTATTTATTTTTTTTTTTTTTTTTATGAGATTTATTATAGTTTTTAAATATGTATTAATTTTAAACTGGGCTTTTAGATTTAAAAAAATACCAATAATATTTTATGCTATATCTAAACCTCATGTGCAAGTAAAAAATTCAGACATTATATTAAACAATTCTCATGCATTATTTATTGTAAGTACCTTGTTTTTGTGGCGGATGCACATCACTACAAAAAACTTATTTTAATGATATACATTAATAAAACAGTGATATTGCTTTTCCAGTTTCCTAAGATTGATTTAACTATTGAAATTTGAGAATTATTAATTGTATTTTCTATAATTTTGTTAATGTTTATTTTAGCATTTGTTATACTATTTAGTTTTTATTATTAAAATTGAAGTAAGTAAATATAACTAGTAACTTCTAAGTTATTTTTACACTACTGTCAATCAACGTAACTTAAAACAATTTCGACATACTTCTTGGTATTCTAACCTTAAAAATAATTTCACTAGGCAACAAAAATTACATATATTTTCGCATATGTCTTATGAACCGTATAAGTCCGTCCATTAAGTTTTTTCAACAAAAAAGACAGAAAAATAATAAAACAGGTGTTACAAAGTCACCTCAATTTTTGGATGACTTGTAACAGCTGTGAAAATTCAACTTAAATTTTAATTCAGGCACATTACAGTTGACTTGTAACGAAACATCTATTTTTAAAAATAACCAAACACATTTTAAATGAAAAAATAAAAAAAAGTTTGACTTTATCTTTTATAACAAAAAACTTAATTTTTATATAATAAACATATCACATTTTGTATTTATTATATTTTCAGTCTTACAGTGAGTTGGGGTACAATATTTTTCAGTCTTTTTTATATTATTATGTTCACTCATCTATATCATCATTATATATATTTTGTACAATATCATTATTGATTATAGAATAGTCTATTTTATAAACAATGGTATTATTATAAAATCTTTGTTACAAGCATAGACCTTATACTAGTATGAGGTCTATGGTTACAAGTCAACCTTAGATTTTTTCTGTAAAATAAAACTTAATTTATAAAATTAGAAAAAATTATTTTTCTACTTCTAATTACAATATTCTTTTGAAGTATCATTTAATATATAAAAATATACAAACCTTTAAACTCGACTAAAATCGTGAAGATCTGAATCACTTTTGAAAGCAATGACAAAACACAAATGGACAAAATCGCTGTTATCATGAGAAATGTTTGGTTATATTTTTGGGCGGTAATGACAAGACCAATCACATGGTTCAAGACATAGAGTAATACTCTCTGGTAGAAGATAACATTTATTATCACAAAAAAGATAAATAAATTTTTAACGATAGTAAAATTCAATTATATCATTATCCACATTGATACCTTTATATGTTTAAAAATAAACCAAATTGTTTCATATTACCTCGTTTATATTTATATTAACTTAGACAACGTATAATATGAATTACAAGAAGTCGTATATTTCTTCATAATTATTCCAATGATAATAATATGTAGGGAATATTTAAATTTTTGAATAAAAACATGATTAATATAAATATTATAGTAATTTATGCTAATATAAATAATATTGAAATTCAGTCGTACAATATTAGATAAAGTTGAATTATGCATTTTTCTTATTAAAAGATAGAATTTACAAGAATTGTTTTAATTCTGAATTTTCAACTACTTATAAATAAATATTAAAAAATACAATAGTAAATATAATGTAAGGGTCAAAAAAATTATAAATTATTAAATTATTTATTTCTAATATATTATAATTTATTTCATAAACCAAACACATAATTGTACTCTCTTAATTGTTCATTAACTATCAAATATTTATTAAATATAATTGTACACACAGACAGCACAAATAATGTAACAATAATTATCCATATATGCTTGCTTTACACACAACCCTGCAATAGTTAATAAATTTAAGATTTCAGCAAAAAACTGAAAATGAAATACATTGTCCTATTATAAATATAAAATTACTAATCAATAAATAGAACAATTTGAAAAAAATAATAATTGAAATAATAATAACCTCCAGCTTTTCAGAAAATGGCACATTTATGAACTGTTAAAGGAACAATATAAATATTTATATAATGAAACATATTAAGCTTAGCTTCAATACTTAAGTTGAACTTGTGAGTAATAAAATGTGATTAAACAGCTTGAAAAATGACATGGGATTTTTGATTCATAAACACCAAGTTAAGCTTGGAGCTAAGACCAACATTATCGATATAAAGTAATTTTGATTCGTTTTCTTTGGGGTATTTTACTACAACTGCAGTGCCGGAAACACGAAGAGCATGAGACTCCTTATCACATTTATCACTCTCTAACATTACTTGACATGTCACGTCCACATGAATGTACTTGGTCACAGTTACTCCAGTTTTTCCTACCACCTAGAAATGATTAAAAAATACATACATTTAGTAAAGTATAATTATTATTAAAAATCTAATAATAACCCTACAATACATTGTTGACCCTCAACTTGAGGATTATCACTGCGGAACACGATAGCTTCACCAATACGTTGGGTTCCATCCAAGACATTGAATTTCATGCCACATAATACAGCTTGGGGTTCAAATCCGTACCCCTCCGGGTATGAATCACTCCAGAAAAAGTTTGTATTATTATTAAGGTTATGCATGTCGGGTTTAAAAGTAATACGCTTTCCATATCCCATTCCGATGTTAACTAGTTGTAATGCATTGCCCCCGAATAAATAGTTTTTGTGCCCAGCTGGACGTACTTTATAATAAAAACCAGGAATGATTCTTGGATCAATATAAGTACCTAAAAAAAAATTAAAATTATTTGGAACTGCAATACTGTAGAAATAGACTTTTGTTAATTACCAATCACGGGCAATTCATATGGTTCTAAACCGGTCATTGTGTACGTTGTAGGTGCATCACCAATACTACAGCCATTCAACATCATTTGACGTTGTTTATCGTCCACACCAGGTATCAAAGTGTAACCTCGACATGGCATAAAACCAATACAAGCATCTAATATTTGTATAAGCTTAGCTGATCCACGTAGTGGTTTAGAAGCCACAGCAATACCAGTAACCTGTAGAAAAGAAAAATATTAAAATTACGACTCATAAAGAACATTCAAAATTTAACAGAATATTATAGTTATTTTTTAAATATACACATGTTTATTTATTCATATTGCATAAATCAAAAACAAAAAAATTAATAAAAATTGGAAAAAATGAATAACATTAATAAGGCTATGTCAGCAAAACAAAACAATAACAATAGACTAGGAACAACATTGCAATATATATAGTAAGGTTAAATATTCTTTAGTAACTGACTAGAATTTGATATCAATGTTTTTAATCCATTCTATGGTTGCCGGCGAAGCATTGTTGTTCAATGCTTCAAGTTGGTCATAAAATTTCCTCTTGGGGCATTCCAATTCAGCATTATGTTTGTATATATATATTATATAATGTACAACAGATACTTACTGGTGTAACTGCAGTTGACTCTTCTTTATAAAACCATTCGACTTTACATAACATACTGACTTCCACATTTTTCTCCACCTCGTCGTTCTTTGTTACTTCATGTTTGATTTCTTTCTGAGCGCTCTAAAAAGTTAAATATGCTATTATTATAATGTCCTACAGTTATCAAATAATTAAAAAAAAAAAAAAATTAATTATTTTATAAATTAAGCTAAAATAATAAAACAAATATATTATAAAAGAAACATATAACTATTTTAAATGGTTTAGTAGAAAATCCCACTCATTAACTTAGGAATGTGTCAACAAAATATAAAAAAAAATCACATTGTATAAACAGAATTATAGAGTAGATAAAGGAAACTAAAGATTGACACTAGAGTTGTTGTCAATTAAGTGAATAGAAACAATTTAACATCCCATTTATTATCTTGATAAAAATTTATATTATTAAAATTGTGGTGCAGATTATAATGCAAATTACATTTTTTCTGAATGTCCTACAGTAATGCTTTATAAACACAAAATTTGTTTCATATATCAAAGAATAAAATATGAAACTTTGTACTTTTAGGTTTTTAAGGCATTTTTTTTCTTTTTAGTAACTAGTGTTATCACAAAATTTGACAAAATTTATTTTTATTTCCTCCTAAAAAAATATCATATTTCTGTTTTTAAAATGTATAATAGATTTACCAAATGTACCAGATAAATATGATGCCAACTATAATAAAATATTTATCGAGTTGTAATAATCATATTACTATTTGAACTATAGTTTAATAAATTTATATACCTAATAAAAAGTATTATTTTTCAACCTTTTTTTTATTTATACAGGCACATTAAATTATATTTTTTTTAAGGAATTTGTCTTGTTTATTAGAGCATTTAAATCTACATCCTAATTATAATTGCCATTGTTTTAATAATTTAATAAAATTACCGCGATTTTGGTGACTTCTAATTTAGCAACAGCAACATTGTTCGCATCATAAACTGTAAAATTATCTCCAATAGAAACCACATGCACTTGGAACGCATAACCAGAAGGCATGGAATCAGTCCAAAAATAATTTTCATTATCATTCAATAATCCTGGACTAGCCTCAAATGTTAAACGTCTTGAATAACCACGACCAATACTCAATAATTCCAATGCTCTGTTGTCGAATAAAAATCTTGTACGCTAATAAAATTAAAAACTACATTATTTACTGTTTTAAGTTTTTACCAATTGTAATTAATATTTATCAAACCTCTTTGGCTTCAATTGGTCGAACTTTGTATTTAAATCCAGGGACAATATTTGGATGAATCCAAACACCAACAGCAGCAAATTCATATGGCTGTAATAATGGAACTGAATATTTAGCAGGAAAATCATTGAGCTCAGCCCCATCCAAATTAATAACTGTTGATTCTTCAACACTCCAATCCAAATTATTAGAGTCTGTAGTTTTCAAACTATTGAATGCAGTTGGAACACCAATTTTTTCTGGATCAGACGTATCTGTCAACTCCTAAAAACAAATTTTAAAACAAAACCATTATTTTCATTTATAATAAATATTGTAAGTGTTATCTACTTATATATTAAAGGAGATATTAGTTAATGATAATAATTAACGATAAAAAAAAAAATCATTAATCTGAAGGTTAAAAAATGTTTTGAAAATAAAAAAAGGAAAAGATTAAGGATAAACTTTGAAAATTTAAAAGTAATAGTATTAATATTATGATTTCTAAAATTGACCATTAATAATATTATAAATTAAAATATAGTTTAAAATGTTTCTTATAGTGCAAAATTGCAGATGGTAGAAAAACAAGTGGTTTTGATAAATTTAAGTGAAAACATAGTTGTAGCAGCAGTAGAAATGGTATCTAATGTCCAATATCCATCTTGCAGACTCCAAATTTTCTCCACAGCTAGCCCCTCATTGACATTGATGATTTACTGTAGAAGTGTCTCGTCTTAAAATCTATCAAACACATATGTTTTTCTACCAATATTTGAAGCGCACTATTTCATTCCTATGTTTATACGTTTTTTTTATATATATTATTTAAAGTAAAATTACATTGTTTTATGTTTTGTTTTTCTAAGTATACTTATAAATACAGAATACAAAATTGCATGATATTAATATTCAAATTTGTACATACATTATAATAAATAATAATTAAACTTTAAAATAATCCCGTTCACTTAAAACAACAATGTGTAAAACAAAAAATAGTTTTCATTTAAAACAAAATTGTATAAATACTTGAATTAAATAAAAACCAAGTAAATTTATATAAAAAGAAAATTATTATATACAAAACTTCCATCTAATTGTTGTATGATCTATGAAATCCAGCTCAAATCACATACGTTACAATGATAGAATAATAATTTGTATGTCTTTAATATTTTTCATATTTCAGATATTATCAAAGTATAGAGGGTGATCAATCTATTTTAAGACACTCATTATATTGGAAAGTGTTGACTTTTTCCAAAATTTGTTTTAAAGAACATTTACATTATTTTTTGTCACCCTAATTTTTAGGGGTTAAACTACCTACTTTTGATTTTAAAATAGCAACCTATATTACAAATTCCATAAATAAATGGAGTAGAATTTAAATTGTAATTTCCGTTAATCCGTTGACAATAAATTACACTTTTAATTTTTGGTTGGGGAAGAGTAGAAGCACATTCGCTGTAAAACACCACGCGCTGTGCCACTACAACAAATGATGCTCCACAACTCTCCCCCGACTCAAACTTAAAAGTGAAATATATCGTCAGCGGATTAACGGAAATTACAATTTAAACACCAAAATTTATTTTAACTACTAATCCATCTATTTATGGAATTTGTAATAAAGGTTGCCATTTTAAAATCAAAAGTAGGTAATTGTTTAACCTGCAAAAATTAGGGTGATTAAAAATAATGTAAATGTTAAATTTTAGAACAGCTTGTTTCATAAATGTTCTTTAAAAGAAATTTTGAAAAAAGTCAACACTTTTCCAAGATAGTGAGTGTCTTATGATAGATTGATCACCCTATAGTTAAAATTAAAAACCCTTCAAAAAAATATTATTAAAAATATGTTATTAATAATAACAAATTAAAAAAAAAATTTACATAAAAATAAAAATTTATATTTTTGTATTATTCATAACATACTCAGAAAATATGTGCCCTTAAGCAATATTAAAATATAATATACTTCCCTTTGCATAAATTAATTTAGAAATGTTAATTATTAAAATATGAGCAATCCTGTCCCCTTAATTTAACTTCCAAGATCAATAAACTCCTTAAAATGCAGAACTTTTTTAGTTGAATGACTTGACACATGTCACATAGTAGTATTATATTTAAAAAAAAATTATTGGTAAATTCATTAATATTTGAATACAATTATTAATTATTAAAAATTCAAAAAATTGTCTACATTTTATTTGAATATCAAACCAAATTCATTTTAAATATATTGTATTTAATGCAGTTGATTTGATGCGATTGCAAAATCAGTTAACTGTGTACTAATTATAAATTATTTTGTTTTTTTATTTTTGGTAGTTATAAAAATAAATTTTACATTTAAGTAGTTAAATAAATATATTTAAAATTAAAATTATAAAGATATACAAAGTGATTTTTTTTATCATGAACCTTCTCATTATCTCAGAGGATATAAAGTGAATTTTATTTTTATTTTTTCTTATTATTATAGTAGAATCATTTCAGCTTTATTTTAACATAATTTTTAACATTTAAAAAATATTCTCTATTCCAATCTGAGTTCAAAAGTAGGCATAAAAATGTAAAATGGTGTTAAAATAAAGCTTAAACGAATCTATAATGATTAGAAAAACAAAAATCAAATTCACTTAAACAACACAGAGATTATTACAGGTTCGTGATAAAAAAAAAATCATCCTGTATAATATGTATGTTTAAATATTTTAAATATGAGTTATTCAACAAATATGTATAAATAGCACTTTTTGGCAACCAAACGAGTTATATTTTTATTTTTTTTTTTTGATTCTGTATATTTTATTTTGTTGTTGTACTGATTGTTATTAAGCATGAGAAATTGTAAACATATGATTTAGAATTGTAGATTTTAATATTGGTAGTTTTTTTTTTTTTTTTTGCTTAATATTTTGTATTAAAATAAACCTTGATGTAGATATTAAAATCAAGATTTTAACTCTCGGCAATTTTTATGAAAAATAAATGTAATGTGAGGAATTATATACAGGAGAAGATTAGGAAAAATAATGGATAAAATGTGTAGATATAAAATAAAGTATGTATGTCAATTCATTCATTGTTTGTTTTATACTTAAGTCAATAATGGATTTTGTTTCATCAAAACTCTCAGATTTAATTTCCCAATAACTATATCAATATATAAGAAAAAAAAGTTTGAATATCATTATTGTGGAAATGCATTTAAATTTGATTAAAACAAACATAAATTGGGTTAATCATATTGTATCAAAAGAACATTAAAAATTAACATAATTTATTTTACAACCATATATTTTAAATAAAAATAAAATTTTTAGCAAAAAGTAAAAAATACTTTTAATCAATTTCAAATTCTAAATATATTTAGTTTGAATTTAGTTCTCATTAAAATATATATTAAACCTGAGAGCTTTGTGTATTTAATTTGTGTATACGAGAATCTTGTGTTAATCATCACATGAAATCTGTACGTACTAGATAATAATATCTAGATAAAATGTACAATCATTGTTTAATATTTATATATATATATATAAATATATTTATATATTCAGATATATATATATTTATGTATATAGTTTTAAGTTTTCTAAACAGTTTTGTAAGTAGTAAAGCTACTTGGCCAGTATTTCATGAAAATACGTCATTTTTTAGTCGCAACAAAAACTCACAAGCAACTTCGTTCTGCTAATATGGAGTCCGTCATGGATATAAAAACCATGCATGTAACTGATGAGTCCTGTAAACAGAATTTACATTGGCGAACATATTTTTTTTTTTTTTTTTAACAGGCACCGAATTGATGACAGTTGAATCCAAATAAATAGTTATAGTAATCCAAAATACATAATCAATCTGTCTGTGAAATGCACAATTTGAGCTGTTATTTATAGTATTTGAAAAATATAGTAATACAAATTTTAACAATTTCAATAAAACAAGGTAATATTAAAGTTAACAATACTCTATAAAAAGTGTATTAAATAATTACAATAATTGCTCAATTATGTTTAATTAATTAAAATTTAACAACTCAATGTGTGCACACACGTACATCCATGTATATACATTTTATAATAATATACGTGATTACTTACATTAAAAAATACAAATGGTTTAAACATACTAACAACTTACCAAGAGATAATAACTTACCAACCCTGAACTGACAAGAACAGGGCTCTGGTAAAAGGAGTTCATGAACTTCATATTTTTTTTAAAATTAGCTTTAGGCGTAAATAAACTTTAATATATGTGCACATTGAATACTATGAGAACTCAACGGAATGCTATTGAATCAAAAGAACAACTATTCGACAATTGTTTAAATAGTACTGACTTGTTTTAATATAATGGCGCAGAAGCCCCAGGCAATCATAAATTAAAATTAAATTGTAGAAAAAGAATGTGTTATTGAAACCTCATGAACACAACATCCAATTACAAGTATTCAATCACAATATAAAAATGAATTGATATATTATGGCTTTTTTCAGGAACTTAATTAAAATTAGAAATTCAATGAAATTTTCAAAATAAATTATTTTCTCCATATAATATATTAAAATTGTAATAAAGTCTGAAAATCAAAATACTAATTTAGAAATAATTTTAAATTAAAAATTTAGAAAATTGCAAATTATTTTACATATTAAATCATTTATTTTATATAATATATTCTATTGAATATTGTGATATTTATCTATTACTTACAAACCAAATTTAATATAGTATCAACTTTAAAAAAATACTAACTTTTTCCAAGTAACGAACTCCATCTTTAGCCTTGACTGTATCCCCAAACAATTGTTCATCAGTTGACTAAAAAAAAAAAAAAAAACAGATTATAATAATTAAAACTAAAACCTTAATTTATAAAAACTACCTATTCTTTATATTATTTAATCATGCATATAATATTTTACTTCCTCCTTTCTCTTATTTATTAAAATTCAAATTCTATGAAGTTTCAATTATTAAATTCAACCCTGGCATGTAATTACAACTTTTAATATTAATAATAAATACATTTCTGAAAATTTAAAATTTATGCATCAGAAGTAAATATATGTTTGATAGACTCCAACCTATTGATATAATCTAAGTATAGAAACAATTTATACATTTTAGACAATTTACAAGTGTTGTTGCTGATTGGAACAACCAATTTTGGTGCCAACTACCAAGAAATGTTAAAAAACAAGCAATTCCAAACTTCTCAACATGTAATATATTACAATTTTCTTACTTTGTAAAATTGATTAAATAAATTATAAAATAATTTGTATTTTTTTTTTTTTTTAATTTTATTACCTTTCTCTAAATAAATTTGGCTCGAGAGCAAAGCATATTTCAGATTTTGCCTTAGTAAAAAAAAGGTTAAAGACCCTTTAAAACTATTATAGAAAAGTATTCTAAAAAAATGTATGTTTCTCGCAATGCTACAAGTCAACAAAAATTTAAACAATAAAAAGGAACGAAAAACAATCAACATCCTTATTTTAAAAATTTTACAGTAGACAATGGCTGATTCAAATAATTTAAGTTAGGTGTTTCAGCTATAAAACAATAAAATGCCATTTTTTTATAAACATTTTTCATGAAATAATAATTATTTAATATTTTAATTTTAATTTTAAAAAGTTTACTTTTATTACTTTAGAAGTGTGTATGAATTTATAAAAATATTAAATAGATGCAATTGTTTTTGGCATTTAACCAAAATTGTGTTCAAGCTAGAGTATATATATACTAGTATACACAATTTATTTAAAAATACATACCTATAGTTAATGACCTTAAAAAAATTTGTTTTACATTCACTTATTAATATTTATTACAAATTATTATCATGAATATATTATTTCCTTAGTAAGAATGTATTTATTATTACCTATACCTTTATTATAATTTTAACATTTTACCATTTTTTTTTTTTTTACACTAACCTTACTAATATAAGACAATTATTTAAACGTGTAGTAACTAATGTTCAAGTATATTTATTTAATTTACTGATTTTGAAAAATTAATAGATTTAATTTGTCTGTGTTTAATACATTAATGCTGAAATTATTAAAATCATTGATTTTGTAATATTACAAAAATTAATAGTACAATTGAACAATAATACCATTTATCTCATACAAATTTCTTGAATTTAACTAACTGATTACAACTACAGTCTATAAATGGTAATTATTTGAAATAAAAATTAATTTTTTTTTCTTTTAAAAACATAAGAATTTTAATTTTAATATTTTGACTATAAACTAACCTGATTATCAAATAATGATGCATATTGATCCTGGTCCAAGATTTCATCACGAATTGCATGCATAGGACTTAAGATTGTACCCTGGCGCTTGGCCCACAAACGATGTAAAGCAGGTTGCATGATTTCAGTGTTTACGTCTTCCATTATTATATAACCAAATTATGAACCTGCTAAAAAATATAAAAATAATGTTTTAACTGTTTAAAGACCTGTTACTTTTTTTAAAATTTATTTTAATTTTATATTTGCCAACACAGCATATTTACTAATATAACATGGTGGGGTAATAGTGTTTACAATGTCTGATTACAGTAAAAAAATAAATCTATTGGGAACCACCCTATATATTCTATATAATAATATCTAAATTCAATTCAGTTTAAAGAACGCAATAGATTTAAATTTGCAAATTTAGTTTTGAAACTGAGCACATCTGGCTGATAACTGAGTTAAAAATATGTAGATATTTAGCCTAACTCACTCTATTGAATTGGCAAGAACACAGTCCACATAAATAAACAAGTTGTTTATTAGCTAAACAGAGTCATTTTTATAAGTGGGTTAAGAATGAATTCTAATGATATAGTTTATCTCAATAAATAAAATTATTATAACACAACTCTAAATAATCTTCTATAAAAACACATATTACACAATAAGATCTCAATCTCTGTCAATCAAATTATTGCATACACATTTTAAACCCATAATACATAACTGTAAAAACAAAAAAAACTAAGTAATTTATACAACTAAGTATGTAAAATAATAATTAGTGTATAATGTATAATTGTACTTCAGACAATGAACAATAATATAAATTAAAAATATATTAGATAGTAACTGTTCAAACAGTATTTAATGTTACATTAATACTCTGAATGCAAAAACCATAATTAATTTAATTAAATTTGATTTTTGTGTCTATTTTTTGTATTTTAAAATTAGTTTAAATCAGTGGTGCTGATTCAAGATTGACTCATTTTGTTTTCAATTTGTCAATTTGATGTATAGTGTAATGAGCGGTGGGTAAATCACGAACGGAAATCAGTGTACAAATATGCTTGGAAATCACAGAAATCTTTGATAATCTAATAGAAAATTGTTAGTTATCTTATAGGAAAACGTGATTTTTTGTAATCAGGTGTACACAATATTTATTGGTGATTTACCCTCTGGTAATAAGCATTGAACATTTATTTAATAATATTGGCAGTTGAATTTGTCAAGGGGAAAACGATATTCTCTTGAAGGGTCAGTTGTCCTGTTATACCTGAATTCAACGCTGTTATGGACTATTTGTACAATGGTGTCTTTTTTTTTTTCTTATCTAAAATATAAACTATTGTTATTAAATATAGTTTTCAGAAAAAAAATAAATAAATATTGGAAGTAAATATTTTTTAAATAATATTAGGTTGTAGAAACTAATATTTGGAATCATCACATAAATTTAGATTCGAGGAATATATTAGTTTTTAAAATGATATTTGTTTTTTATTATTATTATTAATTTTTTTTATCTGTAAACAATACTTATATTCGAAATCTTGATTCGATTTTCAAAGGTAGCACCTTTTCCGAAATTAATTTTTATTTACTTGGTACTTTGAACAAGTCATTTTTTGATTTTCAAAGCGATTTTCATAATAATTGGGATACTCGGAAAAAAATTAAGAAAACGGAAGATATACAATTTTAATTTCGTTTCTTTGTTGTAATTATTTTGAAAACATTTATAACGACCAAAAATTTTGACAGAATTATTATATTTGCTTTATCTAGACGTGTTAAAATTTTCAAAACATTTAAGCCGTTTTTTAGCTATTTATAAACATTTTTATTTTGTAAGCTTTTACATAATTTTTATTCGGTAGGTACTTTGTGGATAAAATTGTTAGACTAAATAAAAATGATTAAAAATTTAACTAGTGGTTCATAACAAGTCATAAGGTTATTATCAAAAAAAAAATTAGTTTAACGTCGTATTTTGAGTTTAAATTTTTACGAAAATCGTAAAAAATCACCGCATTTCAAAACATGTTTAACCGAACTTTACTCAAAATCGTAATTCTTTAGCAAAAAACAAAAAAAAACCTAGAAACGTTAAGTTTTTAATTTTAACCAATATAAAATGGAACCAATACAACAATACTTTATTTGTCTTTCAAACAAAATATTAATTTAAATTAAATAGTAATTTTAATAAGTAAATTTTTTAACATGGAATATTTTATATATTAGAATCCTAATTTTGCATTTAAAAAATATTGACTTTATACTGAAATGTAATTTCTTCATTATGACAATAGGTAATATTGTAATAATATATTCAATAGAATACAAATTATAAAATGCTGCCCCCATTACAAAACAAATAGATAATTACTGCAATAATTGATGTGTGTTTATGTAGCATAACAATTTAATTGAATGTTATAACAATTCTGATGACACAATACTTAAAATGAACAGTGAGATAACATTAACAATAACATTCCTTTTAAATTATCAATTAATAATAACAACTTGAAAAAACAATTAATGGTTATAATAAAGTTAATTGATACATAATATATTTATGGTATTCAAAATATCAAAACAAAACAAAATAAATATCAAAGTTGAAGAAAATATCACCATAACCAGAACAATGTTGGTGCTTAAATGGTGAAATTGTTTTATGTTAATAAATATTTAATATTTATTACTTAATTAAATTTAAAGATGCCTATTTAATTCTTACCTAAATAATTAATCTATTTTTTTATTCTGTATACAACTATGATTAATTTTAGAAGTGTAGTGGTGTAAAATAATTTAAAAATAAATTTTATAATTGTAATTGTGTATGGACAAGCTATGGATCATATAATATATTTGGATACACCACACGAGATGCCACTAATATCAGTATATATCACAATATATGCTCATTACTTATACTAAATACCTAACGTGCTAATACAATTACAACCCAATAAAAAAAAATAATAATAATAACTACATACAAATGACAGTTATCATAAATAAATAATGTATACTCTTCATTACTGTTTATCTAATTATTAGATAAGCAATAAATTATAATACATATAATCTTTATGGCATCATGATAGTAACCTAAAGTTATCAATAAAACATCATTAAACTTTTAAAATTTGTAAACATTAATTAAATACATACAAAACATGTTCACTTTTTTTTTTTAAACTAAGATTATTTCTCAGTATAAAATAAATAAAATATTCTCTTCCAGATTCTTACATATAATATTTGTCAGTATTTGTACCTGACTACCATAATCTTGGACTCTACCTTTAGGTTCGAAGTGTAGTGATTCAGAATGTATTGGTTTTACAATAATGTTTTTTTTTTATCTGCAAACAATTTTTTTACAAAAAATCTTACATCAATTTCTTTCAATTTTAAGTGTACCTTTTATGAAAAGGAAATTTTTATTTAGATGGTACATTACAGAGGTCATTATCAGGTTTTCATAGCAATTGGAAAATAGAAAAAAAAGGGAAAATGTACGTACATGTAGTAAATGAAACTTTGCTCCAAATTGTTTTTTATTGCATATAGATTTAATTTAAATTTCCCTGTAACAGTGGTCATAACATTATTATATTAAGTAATGTAATGAAATATACCTATAACAATAGTAAAGAATAATAACTTTGAACAATTTTATTTTAGACAAAATAGTTATCCAAATAAATGTATGAATTCTACCTATACAAACAGGAATCAAAAATAATTGAAATAAAAGCACTATCTCTAAATGAATACATAAAATTGTAATCATTAATAACCATAATCATTCAACACATAATAACCTACCTAATTTTCATCATCATAGTTCAAAAAATGCATTAAATATCATTTTCCTGATAAATCTAACTATTTATCAGTACAATTAATTATACATAATATATATTATTAATATAATAATGTATGTCATACATACAGAGTGATTTTTTTTATCATGAACCAGCAATTATCTTCGAGTTTTTTTAAATTAATTTGATTTATGTTTTTTCTATTCATTATGGAATCGTTTAAGATTTATTTTACCTATTTATAATCTTTGTCTATTCCACTGGTCTAAACATTTAGCTGGTATAACTAGAGCTGTGAATTGAATGCATTAAAAAGCCAAAACTCGTAGTATAAAATGGTTTTTAATTTAATTTATATAATTATATTGATGTAAGTATATTATATTCTTATAAATCTATTTATTTAATAAAAAAAAATTATAATAATGTTAATCGAATTTTAATTTTGATTTTGAAGTTGATTGATTCTTTAATAATTTTATTTACCTGTAACATTTTTTTTATATATTCATTTTGTTAAAATAATAAAACAAACTTAACATTTTATAAAATATAAATTTGACTTATATATTGTCTGTGTAAAACCAAAAAAATGTTTTCAAAGATTAATTGATGGAATTTAATTGAAAATACCGGAAAATTAACTAAAATAGGAAAATAGGACCTACAAAGACCAAAAAAATGACATAAAAAATTAAAAACGTAATTAAATTTAATTTAAAAATTTCATAAATGAATTTGTTCTTTCATAATTCAAATTATTAACTTACAAAGCTACATTTCTCACCACAGAAAAATGCACTTTCTTACAAATTCACAACTTTATTTATGAGTTATAACTCATAAATAGTAAATCTGATATTAGTGTAATGCATATCAAAATTTCTAGAAAAATATTATACATTAAAAAAGAGAGGTTCTTATTTAAAAATCAAAGGTATGTATTTATTTAAGGTATTTGAGTAGGGGTAAAAAACTTAAAATGGTTTTAAAATAAAACTTAAATAATTCCATAATAATTAGAAAAAACATAAATCAAATTCATTTAAAATCCTCCAAGATAATTGCTGGTTCATGATAAAAAAAAATCACTCTGTATATACTTAGTCAAATAAAAAATGTGATTATTATTTCTTAATGAAGGTGTAAGACTTTTAAACAACATTTATTCTTTTTCTTTCTCTCTTTTCTCTAAGCTGTAATAAAATTTCGGTCAATATGTGCATAGGTATGTATTTAGAGCATCTATCAATCATGTATGACTTTAAATTAGTAATATCGTCCTATTTTAGAATACAGATCTGTAATCTGAAATCTTCATACTATTTCTGACACTGATCAACTTAAATGTGTTGAACAAAGATTTTTAAGATTCATATTTTTTGTGTTAAGCATCTCTCATTTACCTCACAATTATACTAATATCACCAATATAGTTGATCTGCCGGCACTTGCTAAACGTAGATAAATGTTATACTTAAAATTTATTCACGTTTTAATAACTTAACAAATTAATTCTCCATCTATCTTACCCTAAATAACTTTCAAAGTCCCTTCACGAACAATTCGCTTTCATAAAACATTCCTCATTCTAAACAACACTAATTATTTACCTAATGACCCTCTAAGAGTTATTATGTCACTTGCCAATGAACAGCCCTCCTTTCATGATAGTTTATTTTAATCTTTCTCAATTTACTATTTTATAATTATCTTTTAGGATATTGTATTTTTAATTTCTATTTTATGTCTTATTGTACTATTATTTAATGTTAAAAGGGGAAACCCCCCTGTATATTTGTAATAAATAAATAAATGTATCTATTTATAAATAATAATAATTGTTATTTTCTTAAAATTATTTAGTTTTTAATACTAATAACAATTTAAACATTAATATTTCTTTTATTTTTCCCTTATATTTTCAATTTTTAATTAATAATTTATTAGTGTTCTTTTTGTACATTATTGATAGAAATATACTTTTATAAGTGTATTTATGATTCTGATTATAATAGACAATTAAATTGAAACTGGTTTAGGATATTTCAGATTTCAACACCGTAACTAGTATTCTGTTGTAAAATATTATATGCTTACCAACAAGATTTAAAAATAAACATATAAATTACACTGTGAAAAAAAACATTAAGGGAGTTAACTATACCCTACTAATCCCTCCACCCCTAAAGTACCACATATATGTCATCAAAAAGAAATAGTACAAAATCATATCATGTAGTGATGCAATTGCCACCTCCACACATATATTATATAATATTCTATGCGAACACTTATCAAAAAAGTACAGTTCAAATTTTATATTTACTTCTTTACAAATATTAAACTAAAACAATAGATTAAAAATATCTATTACAAATTTACAGCAGAAACTAATTATTTAAATATAATTCAAAATATTGCCTACACAAACTAATAAATTTCTAATAATCTAATAAAGTAATTTGGCATCATAAACCAGTTCAACAAGAAAAAAATGAGATACATAATTAAGTAGACATCTAATTAGGTATCAATTTACATGCAACAATATAGCACTACTATTAAAAAATTGAACATACCTACTATGACTATCAAGAAAAAAACTATAAAAATATAATAACTAATAAGTATAATTTTTAATATAATTAAATCAGTATATTATCAACAAAATATTGATTAAATTAAATTATATGCATTTGATAATTATAATTAAAATCAACAAAATTGTTTTAAAAATGAAAATTATCCAAAAGAAAAAAATTAATTAATTAATTAATTTTTCAAACAAAAAATTAAAACCAATAAGTAAAAAAAAATATAAACAATTAAAATTTTAACTAATTAAAAATATTATTACTATTACGACTATGTATCGTTGAATGCAAATCAAAAAAAATGATTAGTACCTAATCTCATTATTTTAAAAGTAATCAATATTTAACAGTACATTTCTGTTTTGCACATTTTTAAATATATTATCATTTATGACTAATCAATATTAATTTTTAATATGTATTCATTAATTAGGAGTAGATACAAATAAATCGCACATAACATACTTCAGGTTAATATGCAGGTATAAAGATTAAAAAAAAATTACATTTGTTAATATGTAATTATATAATTATAATTAAAAAAAAATAGTAAGCAATGAACTATTAATAATTGAATAGGTGATTACCTAAACTGTAATAACTTATCTTTCAGGATAAATTAATAATCAAGTCCAATTTATATTAACCTTTAGATCTAACACATAAATTTACAAATAATAAAGAACTACCTTTTTTTTCCAAATAACAACACTATTTGGTGATGGGTATTGAATAAAAGAGATGAAATAATAATACTAAAATGGATGTGTGGTTGGATATAATTAGGAATGAAGAGATGGTATCTATTTTTTTATAATCTAAGAGTGATGAGTTTAGTGAGTGTAGCAGTGAAAATGAAAAAAAAATGCAGATCCAAGTACAGATGGAAAAGGCAATTTAAACGTAAATTTTAAAATAAATATTTGATTAAATAAAACCATTCATAAATGTTTATAAACACAATATGGTAAAATACACCAAATATAAATGCAACTAATAATCTAGCAATGTAGGAACCTACCTATCTAAATTAATTTATCCACAAGGTACTTGTGTTAAATTAATTGAATGTTGTTTTTTTTATGGTCTACGTTTTGAACAAAATTGTTCCATTTCAAATTTTAATAGATGCTCAACATTGAAGCACCATACTATAATTAAATCTCGTTTTGCAAATAATACACTTGTAAAATTATATTTCTTGTTCTTTGAACAGGATTTAACAGACATTTAATATGTTTTGTTATTTATTCATGCAAGTTAAAAAAATAAATTAACTTACAGATTATAATACTATACCTATCAAATTAAAAACTCATAAATGTATTATGGAGAATACAACCAAGAATATGACCAACCAAATGGAAATGAAACAAAAATTGATATGTTAGACATTAATATTTTTGACTAAGTTTGAACATAGGTAATAATCAACGAGTAAAAAAAAATTATAACTACCTATATTATTATATCATATAATACAATTTAAATATAACCTAATAACATTTATAATTATTATGAACAATTAATTACCTATAATAATCATTAATTAATAATAAATTAATAGTATGCACAGTATTCCATCGTATTACCGTTGTAGATATGAACTATTATATTATTTAAATTGACAAAGTGTACAGCACAACACTAATTAATTGCATATTTCAGGCAGAGATATTATATAGTATCATAAAAACATATTTTACTACAAATTGTATGAAACCGTATACCCAGCCAAAGAGAGATTTGTAACTCATACATCAATCAAGTGTAGGTACTGCAGGGGGAACTAACAACTTGTATTGTTATTGTCTTAGATTACAGAGGTTTTTTTTTTAAACCACCTACCTACTGAGTAAACACTCGAAACGATTGTAAAAAAAAAGACCAGACACATAAACATGTGTGTAAATAGTTCTGTATAGGTTTGTTAATTATAGTTCTGTATAGGAAATGGGTAGATCTGTGGAGAACATAAACATATAACCTGTATTGCCTACAATATTATTATTTAGTATGCAAATCGCAAACACGTCGCAATAGCATGGTATGCGAGGTAGAAAAAAGGTTCAAAAACAAAAAAGGGAAATTCGCACACATAACAGCTGCTGGCGGTTGCACAAATCCTGCAAATTGCATATTAAGTAGGTAGTTGGGTAGGCTGAACACTTTCACGACACGTCACCCTTGGATACAGACACGGTTTAGATTGTACAGGGTGGTGGAAGGAAGGATAGGGAATTCCAAGATTAACACCTACCAAAATAATAATATAATGCATTGAGTAGGTACAATAAAACAATTATATTACCTTTTTAATAGTCTTTAGACGATTCAGCAGCGGTTTCGAACGATTTGTTGCGATTCTGGTGGTCGGGGTTCACGTATAGTCGTCACAGGACCCAACAGAATATTAATATACTGTTGGAGAAGAAAAACAAATTACAATTTATTATTAGTACAATGTGCGAGATTTAGTAATAGTTAGGAAAAAAAAAAAAAAGTCTCAATAATTATTACCTATGTAAGCGTTTACTGCAGGGCGAATATATTACGGCACTGCGCCACAAAGATAATCGGGTGTAGTAAACAAGGTGGTGTAGAACGTGAAATAGAAATATAATCGATTTTCTTATACGGGACAGAGACGTTAGGGAGCGCGACGTACCAACAGTATTAGAACCGACGTCGCACACAGACACAGACGAGCACGCGGGAACAGTATTTCAGGCACTGCCGATGGTTATGGCGTATTACACTTTGATGTGTGGGACACCTGTTGTGAACAAGCGTAGTGAAAATAGAAAACCTGTTCCGCAAGACTTGACGTGTCTGTGTGCTGATCGCCAACGACCGTTCACCGAGGATGCGCGTAGCGAATGAACGAGTAACAGCGTTTCGGTTTAGCTCTTTAACACGCGAGCTGCTGCCGCTTTGGGGGCGATTACGACGACGCCGTCGAACGGGCGCCGACGCGACGGTCGCCGACCGACAGGGGGAAGGCGGAGGCGAACCGACAGCTGACTCGTCGCGCACCGGCCCCCCCACGGTACGCGGGTCGGTGGAGGAAATACCTATCGCGTCAACGCGACATGCGTGGGCCACAGACGCTTCACTCGGTGTAGGTCATAGAATAAAGATTCTTGGCGATGTTGTACATTCTCCATTCACCCATAGGAATATATCGACGGCCAAGTGTCGTGAAAATGTAAAGTAAAAATAATTGATCATTATTTATTGACTGTAAATGTATAATAGCCAGGGCCGGATTTAGACTTTCGGATGCCCGAGGCAAATCGTTGTTTTTGGCCATTAGTGATAAAAAAAAAATTTAAAATACCCAATATCCGAGTAGTTAAGAAAGAAATTAAAAATTTGCAAACTTGCACGTTATAACTATCTACCCAAAATATGTTCATTTCCAGTTTGAAATACTGCCGTTCGTGTGTCACAAACCATATAAATACAAATCGATCTTTATTTTTAGAACTCGATGAAAGTAGATATTTAACAGATAAAAGTAATTAATTCGTTGGCAAAATGTTTTTCTGCTATTTTTCGTAAAATAGTATTCAAGTACAAGGCGTACTTGGCTTTATTCTGTAAATTTCTATTATAAAATCATAGGTGCTCTGTGTTTTTCATTAGTGTTAATTCAGGGGCGCGGATCCGGAGGGGGGGGGGGTCATAGGGCTTGAGACCCACCTCAAACATCCGGATTAGGTCTCATGTTTATTTGAAATTCAATGTAATAATACGTATAAAGTGCGTTTTTAATTTCTTTTCTCACTGATAATGTTTAAAACCATTAATATTTGCATGCTGTGTAAACAGTAAACATTATTTTTATACATCATTCACTATCACTTATTTATAAAATCACAATTTATATTTAATTTCTGAAACTAGACCGATTGACGATAATATTGTTGACGAGTAAATATAATATAAATATAAATTATAAATTAATTGTGCAGAAATGTTCAATATTGTTCAACAAAAGATACGATTATTTCAACCTGTAATTACACATCTATACTTAGGACGGCGTCGGCTCGCAGCCGCTTATCGCAAAACCGTGTTGATATTATTTGGATATTTCTAATAACTTTTGAAAAATACCATACACGACGTAAATTATCATGTTATTAGATTCCTGGCGTTGCAGGAGAGCTATTGGTTTTACTCAGATGTTTATTTTTTTCTTTGTACTAATCTGTGGACACGTTTTTTCCTAGTAAACTGGCTCCGATTTTTACTTGTAGCACCTTTTCTGAAAGCTCAAGTTATCTAGATTGTACTTTAAAAAATGATCAATTTTTTTGATTTTCAACGCCATTTATTCTAAATAAAAGCAGTTAAGCGGGAAAAACGTAGGAAAGTGTACAATTTCTTGATTTCATTATTTTATAAAAACACGGACGGTGTTTTCTACCAGAAAAAAATGATTAAATCGTAAAATCACAAGACACCTTTTTTGTTACCTTTTTGATTTACTTTCTTACGGTATCATTGACAAAACTTTTGAGCTTTTAAGGAATTTTAATTTTGAGAGTTTTTTTTGCTGTAATTCGGTTATAAATACATGTACAGACTTTAAACTTGATAAAAATACTTATATTGGACTTACCTAGACGGGATAAAATTTCTAAAATAATCGGACGACTTTTTATCTTTTCTAATATGCGTTTTGAAATTAAATTTAAATGAAAATCGCAAAAATAAATACGACACTTCGAATTATGTATTACCGAACTTTGCTCAGAATCGTCTATCGTCAAGCAAGGGTTTATCGTTGCTTACAGACATAAATGAAATAACCTTATGTATCCTATCTTCCCAACTTCTCACCTACAACAGTGGCCACTCCCGTTCCCGGTATCAGATTTTTTTAAACGTCTATGATACGTATCGTTTGAGTTTTTCGTAAATCGCACAAGTAGAAATAAATCGTAAAGAGAGCATGGTGAATTTCATTATAATTAGGTATTGGATTATTATCTTATTTAGTAAGTAGAATGCGTTGAAAATTGTTAACGGACTTACGTTAAGACAGCCCCGCCAATTTCTAAATTTTGAAATAGGTTAGCAATTTTTCGTCAATATTTGGTATGCAATTATAACATGACTTTGAATGAACGACTAGAATTAGAATTATTTGCATGATAACGGTTTAATAGTGAAAAGAAAAATTCGATGGGTCGCTTAGATGCTTACATATAATTGCTAGATATTGGAATTTTCGATATGGCCGGACTGGCGTGACTCGCGACGTACGTGTTTATATGAATAATCCAACATTATTTGATAGAAGAAATTATTCGTTTCCGATAATTACTAGGTCCAAAAAGATATTTTTGTACAAACTGTGTAAATATTTATGAAAATATTTCCATTCATATCGTTTTAGATTCTGAGCAAAACGAGGAATGTATTAGTTTTACAATAATATGTTTTTATTTTTTTTATTTTTGCGTCTGTTAAATCAGAAAATGACAAGAGACCTTTATTGTTGCATTTTGGATTCATCATCATTATCTCCTCTCAACTGGCTTCAAGCAAAAATAAATAAATAAAAAATTAATTATAATTGACCGTATTATTTCTAGATTTGGAAAAACCAAACAAAGAAAAATAAACTTTATCAATTAATTTTAAAAATTAAGCATTATTAATAAAGTTTTAATTTTAGTTAATGATATTTATTATCATTATTTTTAATTGTGTATACTTTTTTTTCCTTTTGAAAAAATTACCCACCCCAAATTATAATTCTGGATCCGCGCCTGAGTGTTATCACTAGAGATATTAGTTTATAACTTCTACAAGAATGTATAAATGAATTCTTGAAAAATTATTTTAAACGTACGTGAGCTTACACTAGTAGCGGATTTTCAAAATTTTTCTGGGAGGGGTCCTGATAAATCCTATGTATTTAAAAGGTATCTCTATTAAAAGATGCCCCTTTTTTGGACGATATTTTACTGAAATTATATCGGTGTCTGGAAAGGTCCAGGGGGTCTGCACCCCCTCCCATAATTTCGCCACTAGCTTAAAATTTTTCCAAAATTCTTCGTCTAACCGATCAACAGTTCATTGACGAAAAAGCACTCGTTCATTGCAATTGTCCAACCAAAATAAACTAAACGCGTTCATTTTATAGGTAATAAAAAACTAATTCTATTTACAATCTAATAATAATAAAAATATATTTTACTATTACACCAAAAAGTTCGTTATTAATATTCTTTGAAAATTTCACGTATCTAAAATGTTTTTTAACCGAATTACAACAAAAACAAAATTAAAATTATTGAAATCGGTTTATCCGTAAAGTTTTTCATTTTACCTTCATTTTTCCTGTTTTTTCCCAATAATTAAGAAAATAACGAAGGGAAACAAAAAATGTCTTAAATTAGACAAAATGTTCTTTTTGAATAGACACTTTAAAACCGGAGTAAGTTGTCTGGTAAAAATATTTATTTGTTTGGTTTTACATGTTTTGAAAGGCCGTAATATTTACGGTTTTCGTTCAAATTTGATTTTAACTTTTTTATAAAAAAAAATCATATGAACCATTATGAACCTCTTGTTAAATTATAATAATAATAGTTATTAAAGCTTAATATAAATACCTACAATTTTTAAAAACAATTAAATATAAATAAACATAATATATATGATATAAAGTATTAAAGAAAATTGTTTTTAAGTTTTATTAAAATGTAGGGGCCGTGAGAACGTCAGTACTTTCATTGGTCAGGCTCTGAATACAGTAATACCTAATCATTGATAATAACTCGGAAGATCATTAAATTACAAATATACAAGAAGTACGTCAAGTAAATCAAGTAACTGACCGCCTGGAAAATCATGAACTTGTAAAACTTTTATAACTGACCAAAATTTAAAAAAAATATATATGTATATATATATTGTCATTTTTAGATTGGAACAAGATTTCTGGTAAAAAAGTAACTCAACAGAGAAAAAAAAATCATACATCATAGTAAAACTAACACATTCCTCGCTACATTCACAATCTAATACACATTATAGTTTTATGGTAACGGGTACTGACTACAGAGTACTACTGTACTAATTATTTTAAAGTGTTTAAGTTATTTTTAAGAGTACCTGTTGTATTTTTCGAGATAGCCACCACTGGTTAAATTTAATTCTATATAAAAATCAATTTTTTTTCCTTATTTGCCTTCATCCCAACTATTTGGAGTCTCTCAAAATTCTATACAAAACCGAACAATATAATAATACTCAGACAATAAATATTAGTTATACGAGTATATTTATTATTAAAAGGTAATATCTATACCTACGTAGCTATATATTTATCATAATACTCGTAATCCGTGATCCTAATAGTTCTTTAGACCACTTACTTCAGAATTAAAATAATTTATCTAATTTTAAATTTACTCTGTATAGAATACGTCGTCGATATCGACACCTAACTGACGTACCTATCTATTCTTATACACTTATATCAGCGAACAATGTCTCGTCACTAACCTATTTTGTTTTCTCTATCTTGCTCGTAGTAACAATGAAATTTCAAGTATCCACGATTGCGACTGTTTGGTTAAGTTTAAAGAAAAATAACTTATTATATATTTTATGAAAAAGAAGATTTACTATAAATATTACACACGACTTTTTAATACTTTTATTTCGTAATATGTTATTGATGATTAAATGTAAGAAAAAATTAAAACATGCGTGGTATGGTTAAAATCTAAAAATATCAAAACAAATCATTCGTCATTCGTTGGATTCATATTTGATAATGCTTATATAGTAAATGTGTGGTAGGTCCCTTTTCCCTAAACTGAATCCAGACTGCCGCAATCGTCGAAATGCGGAATGTTTTTATTAATTTTATTTCAATACCTATTACGTGATAGAAAACAATATGTTAGTGGTGACGAAGCACCTTAATACTGGCCACGATTAGCGAAAACCATTGACCTAATATTCCTTTAAATTTTATATTAAGTCAATGGCAATATAGTTAAGTTAATAGTATATGTTCCTATTAATTATTATTAAAGTATTATCTGATGTACGGATATAGAAAGTTTGTCTCTCTGTCCATCTGTAACGATTTTTATTTTATACTTAACGTAACTTATACGAACGTAAATACTTAAATGTGATGTTTAGGTTGAAATTAGACGTGATGAATTTTCGTTTAGCAGAGACAACATTATGCTGTTAGTTTTGATAGTAGAATGAATCGACCTATTATCAAACTTAAATATTAGAAAATTATCTATGAAACGTTGGCGCTTAGGTAGTTTTTCGTTATTTAAATTTTAAAGCTAAATATAAGCATTATTAAATTGTAATATTTCACAAACTTACTCGTATCTCTTTTAAAAATTAAAACATCGAAAAAATACTGCAAACGTTGATAGATAATTTGCTAATCTTTAAGTTTTGTAACAAGTTAATTCGATAGAGTAATGCCAAACTACTATTAAAACTACGGTTAAAGATACATCTTTATATCTTTAACTTTTAAGGTATAAAGATATATTAAAACCCCAATGCACCAACGAAAGAAAATTACCTTTCAGAAAAGATGCTACATTCTATACATCGGCGCAAGATTTCTGTTTGAAAAATTTTTTACTGACAATAAAAATAAAAAAAAATGGTATGCTCTGAATTTAAAAAATAAACATTATTATAAAACCAATACATTCCTCACTACGATCCGAATCCAAATTAAGCTCCGTACTCAATACTACTTATACGCGCAAAGAGCGCCGTCACTATTTGAGTCGAATTTTCTCCCCGCATTCTCCCCGACTTATTGCATTATTGATTATTTTAGACTCTGAGTGGAGCGACTTTAGGGAGATTATTTTTTGGTTTTCTTAGGAGTTTTCAAAATAAATATGAATAAACGTAGAAAAAAATGAGAAAATGTACAAAATGTATTTTCAAACCGTAAATATTACGGCTTTTCATAATATGTATATTGATCTCCGATTGGAATCGTTAACAATGGTTATTCGTTACATACAGATAAACATTAAATTTCCCTTCTATTAACCTTTCCAACTTCTCACCTACAACAGTAGCTCACTCATCGTGCAAAGTATGTCCGTATCTTTTTTACTATGTGTATTATAATTATGAGGTGATGCCGTAACGGAATTATTATCGAACCAATATTCAATTACCTAAGTTAATACCATTATCGACTACTTCCTTCAGCTTACGAAAGTCCACGTGTTACTAAATTATATTTATAATTCATTATTAGTAATAATTACGAATGCAATGCAATTTTGTATTATAGTGTACCCAGTTTTCCAAATTTTAAATGCGATTTAAGAGTGTATTGTTCAGCACAGTCAACTTTTGAACAGATGAGTGCGATTATCATAGGTACAATAAATTATTGTCATTTAATATTAATCTTTAAACACATTTCGATAACGTTATTACTCGCCATGTAAGACGGGCGTACAGTTAGTAATATAATAAACGTTCATATACATTTTACCTAAATAAGGTAAGTATTTAATCATATTAATTATAAATTTGATACGTAAGGAAGTATACGCGCGTTATTCTATCATAAATATCTTAGCGACGGATTTAAATATACCTACATTAATTCTTAGTTTCTTACGCGTATCTTAATCTTCAAATCGTTACTGTAATAATTGTAAATTGTTCCTATTATATAATTATAATACCTTAGGAATATAAGCTATTGTTGGTAAGTACTTTTTTTGTTTCGATTCTGAGCGCAGCGAAAAAAGTATTGATTTTACTATTATGATATGTTTTTTGTTTTCATTCTGTCTAATTTCTGTCTACCCAAATTTTTCACCAGAAATCTTGCTCTAATCTTCAAGCATTTTGCAGCATTGTTTTCTGAAATCAAATTTTGACTTGTTGGTGTACTGAAGATACGTTGTTTTGATTTTCCTTGTAATTTTTTTTTAATAATTGGGAAAAACTGAAAAAAAAACTTAGAAAAAATGGAAAAATTTCCGCAATATCGATTTCTATTATGAAAATTTCCCCTCTGTTTCTTTAAGTTAAAAAATTGTTTTCAAAAAATCAATTGTTTAGGAATTATTCAACGATCGTATTCATTTTTTTTTTTTCTGCACATATTTCTTGTCATATTTCCTGTGTGGATATTTGCCAACCATTATGTGAAATATTTTATCAAGTAGTACTTACAAATACTTAATTATACTGAGCTATACGTCTCATAAAATCATATAAGTATGTATAAAATTTTAATTCATATAGTATTGAGTCATTTATTTAAATCTCTATATCGAAAAATTTGGAACAAATATTAGTGTTCTATAGACATAAACACTAAAGTAACTATATTAAAATAAATCCAATATTACTCCAAATATAAAAGTACTCGTTTAAAAAATGTTTAAGATGTTTAAGTACTTATACCTACAACTAAGTAATCAGGATAATTACATAAGTGCCTATAAATATGTATTATTTAGATAGATAGATAGGTAGCTACCTAATACAGATTACTTATTTTTAAACTATAATTTAAAAAAAGCTACAGTTTACAAATTCGATTAAAACACACTACGTCACAACACATCACATTATTAAACGTAATAAAACTAATATGTATAAGTATAATAAGATTAATATACAACTATAATATGTAATAATTATTTAATTATAATTGATGTTGGCATCATTTTATATCTCGTCTGTGGAATAGGTATTATTATTTATTGTTATTGATTTCATAAGCTAAATTATTGTCATTATGGAGTTTGAAGTGCGGTGTTAAATGTCAAAATGAAAATGATATAGGTACTTAATTATTAAATTACTTGTAAACAGCTAAATATTGTTTTTTAATGGTTTATATTAATATATAATAATTGTTATTAGGTATTCAAACTTTAACTAAATGTTATTTCTTATTAGATGTTATTAGCTATAACACATTATAATATTGCCTAAATTTACATTTATTATAATATAATTTTGGTAAGTAATTTTATTTTTACGCAAAGATATAAACAATTCCAATATTAATATATAGGTGTAGTTATCTACTAATTAATAGTTATTGGAAAGGCACTTGTTAATCTTAATTTGCATGAAATAATATTCAGGGCCGGCACTAGGAGTATTAGCGCCAAGGGTGAAACCTTGGATTATACATATTTCAAATTGTGTAAATTATTGATAATTTTTTTCGTTTATGCGTATCAAAAGTTAAATTAAATTGAAATAATTTTCAGTTTAGCGCCCTTTAGATACTGGTGCCTTGGCAGTCGTCCACGACAACCATAGCATTCGCCGGCCCTGATATTATACTTACCTATAAGATAAATAATATGAATACCTATATAGTATATAGGGTGATAACTGATAAATGATAAGTAATGGGAAAAATTTAACCTAAACAAATATTTATTATTCCTCTGTTAAAAATACCTAAAATAATTATCCCTGTTTTAGATGTTTAAGATACATGTCTTAAATATATCTAATGATTAAAACTAACACTATTAATATAATCACTAGAATACAATAATTTATCTCAATATTTCAACTTCCCACTTATAAAAGTTATAACAATTATTCGTGAATAATATTGGTTTTTCTTTTAAATTGTTTTATTTTAATTCGCATACAAATTTCAAATTATATTAATGGCTGTTGAATTTTTGTCAATTAAGGGCTTAGCTTTAACACATTCTACCGAATAGTAATCTAGATAGATTACTATTTTATCAATTATAAATTATTATTATTACCATGATAAATAAATAAAAGTAGGAACCTACCTAATAATACTGCACAAGTATACCTATGCAGGTTAAGCTAGGTCTTAGGTACAATTAATATAAAGTCCAATGAAGTGTACGTTTAATTGCGTTCATTACAAAACGAAAATACTTAATAAAATAAATGAGTAAATTATAGTAAGAAATATAAAACCATGAATGATGAATATAATATTATTTAAATTAAAAATACCAGGGAAACACAGTGTTATGTTTTACCTTATTGGCTCAAACAGGCTTCCATTTTTATCAAAACACCTCTGAAGAATCAATTGGAAAAAAAAGGTTTTTTTTGGCAGAATTTGTTTCATAAAACAAAAAAAAAGACTGATATACTATACGCGCGTGGGTACAGCCACTGTTGTAGGTGAGCAGTTGAAAAGGTATGAAACAGAAAGGAATTTAATTTATATCTGTAAGCAACGATAAACCATTGCTAACGAAAAAACGATTCTGAGCGGAGTTCAGTTGATAGTGATACTTTGTCAACAATATATATATCATTATATAGTAAAATAATCAAATAGGCATTAAATATTTTCTTTAATAATATTTGTTTAATATTGTACTGATTTTCCCGATTTTTTTTGGTTTTCCATTTGTTGAGAAAACTCTTGGGAAAATCGAAAAATGACCTCCTTAAAGTACGTTCCTACACCGATTTCTCTTCAGAAAAGATTTCTGGTAGAAAATTTGTCCACAGATAAAAAAATAAAATAAAAAATATCTTTGTAAAACCATAAGCTTCTCGCTCCATTCAGAATCTAAACAGTGTTTTATTATGCAATATGGAAATTTTATTTATCATTCAGTATATATAATTTAACAAATTGTATTTGGTTGTGCAATGAAATCGTTTATAATATTTGATTCCCTTTCCGCCTTTGACTTAATATCCTGATTTCGCTACTGACAAAAACATAAAATGATAAAACTAAAAACCCAACTAACATCTAACAATAAATTCACTTTTTATTATAGATTAGCTGTTTTACATTTATTTATTTTATGAATAAAATATATCATAGGTATTTACAATCTTCAATCTTGTATCTTGCTTAGAAATGGCAGCCTATGATGACTGATAAGTACAGGATTTTGTCCGATTATCAATATTATCATTGTTTAAAATATTTAATTTAACAAATCCAACATTTTTCTTCCTATATTCTTCAATTAGTGGTTTTACTAAAACATAAGTTATATATTAAAATAATGCACAAGTAGGTATTTATTATTTCATTGTAAACCTTTATTCAAAAAGTAATGGTAAATAAATTTCAAATTTCAATAGAAAATAGATAAATAAAACATAGTTCAATTTATAGGTAGTTTTGACTTAATATGTGATTTTACGCCTTCAGTTTTTCATAAAAGGAAATCTTTTAATGATATCGTCCACCGGTATACTTATTTCCTATAAATATCAATATGCAACAGTGCAAGCCAGCATAAGTGATTCTAGCACATTTATTTTGTAACTAGAAATCAATGATAAGAGATAACGTTCGAAACGAAATGATACCCAGAAACCAAGGTGTTTGATAGTTAATACACGGTAGAAATCTTGATCACAACCTTGATAACAAAAATATTTTAATAGGACTTGACAATGTTATGATATTATTAACTACTTAATAAAAAAAAATTTCAAAATAATTTTAAAAACAAATAACAATCCGCTTATACATACGGCCCAAGAGGGAGGGACAAATAACCCCCCCCCACAAGTACATCACTGTTCGGTGATGGGTAATCTGACAGTTCAGCTATAAGAATAAGGAAGTAATAAACGGCGGAATTTTCCAAACAATCGAGAACAAGCTAAGAAAAATCTTAGCCCTTGGATCCGGTCCTAAAATTTCAAAGTGGAATTACCGGGGAAATAGATTTAAAAAATATTTTATTTATCTCTTAAATTGTGACAATTTGACTTCTTTAATAATAATAATTTTAATAATATTAAATTTACAATGATATATTTATACAAACCTGCTGCTTTTAATCTCTTATGATTGGGACTCCATCCAAAATTACTAATTTAGGAAGTTTTCTAATACAGTCACTACGCCACACAGATTCATCTAAACAGTCATACAGCGGGTTTCCTAAAAAATATATATAATATTTTATTGAATATGTATGACATAAAATGTGTTCAATTTTCATAATAACTTTAAACATATATTATTTTGGCATAACCCTGCAATTTCTCCTACTTAATTTTATTTAACATAATAAATTTATAGGTAGGATTCATAATTAGGGATAAATTCCTACCAAATATTGTCAAGTTTGAAAAAATAAATGACAGAATATGCTATATAGAATTTAATTGCAGATGGTTTAATATCATAATAGTAAATTTCTACGCACCGACAGAGGATAAAAGTGAAGAGGTAAAAAATTATTTCTAAGACGGAGTGTGTGATGATGTACAGTTGGGAAAACCAAAAATAATCATTGGCGATTCTAACTCAAATATTAAAAGAGAAGTAGTGTAAGGGTCAACTATAGGATATACAAGTTTAAAACTGTAAGTCACTACAATATTAACAAATCAGCTACCTACATAATATGATTAATAAAATATGGTAAAATGAAGAAATACTGAGTTCGTGGCGTGGATGTATATCGATTCCGCCGATTGTGTAACGATTTCGCCTACTATTGATTCGGCTTGCTACTGTTTATTATATTTACATATTGATTCTTCCGAATCTTAAACTTAATAAAATATATTATATTTGTCATTAATGTAGTGCACAAGACAAAATTATAAGTTCCGTATATCTAGCTAGATATGAACAAAATTCAATCCAAGTATTTGGGCATCAAGATAACATCAGAATATACTACTAACAAGTCACAAGACCGTTATCATTATACAATTTTCTCATAATTGAATGAACATTTGTATGATTAGTTTAATTTCATAGTGATGTATTAAAAAGGATTTGTTAAACGCGGTTTTAAATTTGTTGGAATTTAAAATACATTTTTTCTAAGTTTATTCAATTATGAGATAATTGTACACCGATAATAGCTGGTTAAATGTGTAGTGCTGGCTAAAAAATCGCTCTTAATTAAAAAAAAAAACATTGCTGGGTAGTTGGATTTCATTGCGATGTATTAAAAAGGGTTGTAAGACGTATTTTTAAACTTGTTGGAATTTTAACTTATTTTTTTGGTACGCTCTTCATGTGTACATTATTGTAGTACTGTGTACCCTGGCATTACATATTTAAGGTGAAATATTCGTGAAACTTTTATCTAACAAATTTTAACAATTGTCCAACAATATTAAGCCTAGTCTTATAAAGTTAAAAAGTTGATAACCTTTTTAAATTTTTGTTTTGTATGTAGTGCTGGACATGTGCCTAGCACTACAAATTTTTACAAATTTTTCTAACAAATTCTAATAAATCCGAATAGGGTTTGTTACAGTGATTTCGTAAAGTTGTGCTATGTTATGAAGTGCTAGCTACTCATGTAGGTGGTATATAGGTGTAGATAATTATTAACAATTCAAATTCAATTAAGTCACCTAAGTCTGCTTCTAAAAAATGTTTCACAGAAGTAGTAATATCATTTGGTATTTTTATGTATTTATTGGAATGTATTTTTAATGTCTTTGATTTTGCCTAGTTTAATTGTTAATTGTTAATTACACTTTTATTAGAGGTATGTAATTGTAGAGGTAGGTATTTTAATTATATTTTCTGATTTTAAGAATAGACAAACCAATTTTTAATTGCATGTGAATAATTATAAGAGGCAAAAACAAAGACATAAAAATACATTTCCAATGCATAAAAATACCAAAATGATTTTACTACCTCTATGAAACATTTTATAGAAGCAGTCTTAGGTGACTTAATTGAATTTGATTTGGACTTATTTAAAGGTTATTAGATAAATAATTATAAATACTTTTTTTTAAGCCTTTAACAAAAGTTATTACTATTGAACAAATTATCAATAATTATGATATGGGTGTCGTTTATAATGATTATTGTAATTAATAGAATTAAATTTTAAAAGTCAAATTACATTTTGTTTTGTGACACGTTCATAATTTTGCTTAGCTATTAAGTAGTTTGAAAAATAAAATAAATAATATCAAAAGAAAATAATTATTTGGATTCAGTCTTTTCATTTAAAATTTTATATGAAATAAATAGTTGTTTTTTTTTTAAAAAAAATAGATACAGAAAATCAAATATTGTAAGATTTTAAAAAAAATTGTTGTAAATATCTATAATTGTGCCATTGAATTAAATATAAAACAATTTAAATTTAAAATATGATCACTTATCAATAGTTATTAATAATAATATTTAATATTCATATACATAGAATAACAGAACCACAGACTAACGTTTATATTAGTCTACGAAAAATGTAGGATACCTACCTATTATATATTTATATCTAAGCTAGGTACTGTTGGTGATGCAATAGTGTTTTTATCAGGAGTGAGAATGCAGTGTTGTGTATAGCAAAAATATTGCTACGTTAATGATCAATTTTTGGTACTCCTCAAAAAAAATAAAATAAAAAACAAAACCCTTATTATTATGGCAAATAAAACATTGTAGAAATTAAATACACATTTTATTTTGGAACATCTTTTTGATGTCCCAATAATTACATAACCTGATGTACCCACCTCTCACCCCCCCCACCACCCAACTGTGAAAATGCTTCAATAAAAATACGAATATCATAATACACAGCAAGTATTTTATATGCTGTACTTTACATTCTCTAATAAGCATAAATTAAAATATTGATATGTGAATATATATATAAATAATTTAAATATTAATTAGGTACCTATCTTGTTAACCTACCTATGTATTTTTGTTATTGGTTATATGCATAATAATTAATAGGTAAATTACCAACAAATAAAAAATCTTTTAGGTTTTCCATTTCGACCAGTTTATTCACTTCAGCCCATTCTTTAACGTTATTATTGGACATGTGTAAAACTCTAAGTTTGCGCATTCCTAAAACTCCTTTCATTTTTTCAATTAAATTATATGATATCCATAATTCTTCTAAAGTATCAGCCAACGGTTCAAGTCCAGTAAATGCTTTAATATAATTTCGTCCCAATGATAATATTTTCAAATTTCTTAGAGCAGCAAGACCATTTATCTTCTCAATCATGTTTGTATTTAATGATAATTTTCTAAGAAAAAATATGGTAATTCTTATTACTCATGATAAATATTATTCAAATAATGAACACATACTCGCATTTTGTTAAAACAGATAAATTGTTATCCATTTTTTCAATTGGTGGCCACTGAAATTGTAAACAAACATTAATAGCTTCATTTGCTGGTTCCTTATTTTCATCTTCCCAATTTTTTATTGCATCTTTTATTGTAGTTGCTTTTAAATCCTTTTGTGTAAAACAAATTTCTGTTATCATTAAAATAATAATTAATTATGAGTAGATACTCACTCCCATTTTTATCTTCAAATTCTACAATATAACCTTTTGTTTAAAAATAATACATATTTCCATTTATATTAAAAAACAAAAAATTGATAAAACATGTGATTGAAGACAATTTGTTGCTATGGTGATTTATGCACCGATAAATTATGTTTATTAGGAGAGATATGAGGACATGGTGATAGATAGTGAAACATGAAAAGTATAGAGTTGTTAGTTGACTTCTTACTTTTTCCGAAGGGAAAAAAATTTGTTTTAACATTATGAAGACCTATTTATTAGAACACTTTAAAAATATTTGCGAAATCTTACAATATATGAAGAATATTCATAACTAAATATTATTATTGCAATGAATGTCTAATACAATTTAAAAATAAATCAATACATTTATCAAAAAATATAATTCATATTTATTTAATATTTAATTTGATTTAAATATTACATTTTATTTTTTTACAAGTAAATTTGTATGGTCCCTTTTTTAAATTTTAAACCGCATAACTGTATTTTCCAAATTTTTTTTTTTCAGACAAAAGGAATTAAAAATAATATTTTATATCTGTTGGAGTATTAGCAGAAATAGAAATAATAATCAAAATGAAACAAATAGTTTATAAATATATTTTCTATATTTAAATTTAACAGATCAAACAATTATCTTTTTCGACATAGATACATACACAATTTGTTTACATTAAAAAGTATGAATCAGTTGGATATAAAAAACTTATACTCTATAATAACTAAGTGAAAAAAAGTAAATTATACATAAAAATATATTTTAAATAGTAATTTTGTTATCATAAAAAATTATAATAAAAATACCGAATATAAAATAAACTTAAAAATTATTGTTTATTATTTAAACAATATTTTTAAAAACATTATTTGGATTTGATAACCATTTTGCTTTACCAATTTCCTTATCCAAATAAACTTGATTAGTAGCTAATAGTTTTAAGGCCTTTGGAAAAGCAGTATGTTCAACTTTCTTAATTTTTTCAATTAGACTTTCTTCTGTTTCACCTACACTTATAGTGACACTTTCTTGTACTATAATGGCTCCTGCATCAATTTCTTCCTAAAAATTAAAAAACAAAAAATTACATTTGGAAAATTAATTTTAAAAATTAAAACTTTACTTCAACAAAATGCACAGTACAGCCTGCCACTCGAACACCTGATTCAAGAGCTTGTCGTTGAGCATGAAGACCTTTGAATAAAGGTAAAAGTGAAGGATGTATATTTAATAAACGACCTCTCCATTTGCTCACAAAGTTCTTAGTTAACACTCGCATAAATCCTGCTAAACAAACAACATCTACTTGTGTTCGGTCTAATGCTTCTAACATTTTGTTTTCAAATTCTTCACGAGTTTTAAATTTTGTATGATCTATTTCCTGAATATAAAACACAATTTAATTATGTATATTATACTAGTAGTAGTGGTGCAAATTTTTTTTTTTGTATCAAACAATTGCAGAAAAATAGCTGAAAAAAAAACCCAATAATAATCAAAGCCCAGAAAAATAAGTGCTGTAACTAAACATTCCTGTTTTACCAGTTTTGTTAACTTGTCTAATGACCAAGTTCCACACATGGACCCACCTACTAGATTTGGTCATTAAGCAGCTGCTTAATAGGATAACTATTAACGATAATACTGCAGTATACTAACAAAGTTACAAAATATAATTATAAAATAAATTACCAAAGCTAGTACTCCAGCACGTCGGGCTCGATTTAAACCTTCAACTCCTGGAATATTGGAAATTACTAATACAATTTCAGCCATCATGGATGGATCATCAGTAGTTGTATCAATTAATGACTACATTTAAAAAATGAACATGTATTCAGAATATTTATATTTTTTTCAAATAATATTAGTATACCTGCAAATTTGTTCCAGATCCTGATATAAGAACAGCTACACGCATCTTTGGATGCATTCTAGATGCTACATAGGTCTGTATATGAGGACGCATTAGAGGTTCCATGGCGTTTGCAAATTTTTTCACTTCAACAGATGGTTCGTCTACAAGTATTAATGAAAGTTCACACTTTGAAGTGTCTTTTTTTCTAAATTACATATATGTATGTATTGTTACAGAGCAACACAATTAATATCTAGAAATTTACTTCTTTTACGCATAAACTGAAACTTACCAGCCAGTTTGTTGTCAACTATACCAATAACTTTACCATTAGCAGCAAGTATAACATCTTCTACATTTTTAACATCAACTATTAATATCATGCCTAAACCACAGTTTAATGTCCGTAACATTTCCGATTCATTAATGCTACCTATAATATTAAAATAAATATAATTAATAAACAAAAATAGTTTAATATTATTTAAAATCGTATATATACCTGTTGCAGCAATCCAACCAAACACAGGTTGTATTGTCCATTTTGTAGCATCTAAAATAACTTTCTTATTCTTTGGTAAAATACGTGGAATGTTTTCCAATAATCCGCCTCCAGTTATGTGAGCTAGTGCTTTTATATTATCATTTCTTATTGAAGGTAAAACACGTTGAACATAAATTTCTGTGGCGGTTAATAATTCTTCGCCTTAGAAAAAAAAAAAAGGAAGCTTTTAAGTTTTAAAACAAAAATGATAAAATGTGCTTGTCAAGAATTTTAAGTTTTATATGTTATTTTATGAATCTAAACCAAAATATAACCAATCATTTTCCTTTATTTTTTAAATAATATATTCCAATAGAATAAATTTTAGGTAGAACATTTATTTTATAAATACTATTAATAGATATTAGTTTTAAAATTGCCTAGATATATCGTATAAATATTTTAAAATTTACCGTAAGTTTTTTTGTCCAAACTAAATGGTGCTTCGTCTGTAAAACTATGACAACCCCTATCCATTATTTTACGAATTAAACTAAATCCATTAGCATGAACACCACTTGATTCTAAACCAATAACTACATCTCCAGAAACAATAGTTTCAATATGAGGTAATATTTTATCTCTCTCTACTGCTCCAACCGCAAAGCCTGCTACATCATAATCATTATTATGATAAAGCCCTGGCATTTCAGCTGTTTCTCCACCTGAAAATAACTTTTAGTCAAATTTTTAAATTACAAATTAAAATGATTTAATTATTTACCTATAAGAGCACACCCGGCTTGGTGGCAACCATCTACAATGCCTTTTACAACTTGAACAACATCTCCTCCTTCTAATCGACCAGTGGCATAATAATCAAGGAAAAACAATGGTTCAGCTCCATGTACTAAAATGTCATTAACACACATTGCAACAAGATCTTGTCCAATCGACTCATGACTATTGCATGTTAGAGCAACCTTTAATTGTATTATTGTATAATTATAATTATAAACTATATAATTAAATATAAATGTTTTAAAATCCATTATCTAGTTTCATATACTTTCAGTTTGGTGCCAACTCCATCTGAACTAGATACAAGTATCGGATCACGAAATGCAGCTGCTTTAAGATCAAACATAGCACCAAATGAACCCAAATCTCCAAGAACTCCTTGACGTTTTGTTACAGATACCATTTGTTTGTAAATAGGAATTAGATTATTACCAGCTGTTATATCTACACCAGAAGACTTGTAAGTTGTAGCACCTTTAGCAAGTATAGCTCTATGAAAATTAAAAATAACATTTCTTTAAATGTAATAGCATTTAATATTTTTAACTTTATTTAAGAAATAACTCATACCTTGCAATTCCTCTATGAGCAATATCAGTTCTAAATTGTGCACCATTAAATATGATTCTACCACAAGCCATAGTGGCTTTAGCAGCAGCTAAAACTAAATCTTGGTGAGTAGTAACCACAATCAAAACACGACCTCCATTTGTTACCAATTCACCATAATTGTTCAGCTTAGTACCCATGTGAAATACCATACCTTCTGTTACACTGGGTAATCCTAAAAAACCGTCATAGATACAAAATAACTTGTTGGTAAATGCTCAATGATTAATTCACCTGATATAACATCCCCTTTACTGGACGTTAATGGATATCCTCTGCTAGCCATTACAACACCCACACAAAATTGATCGGCTTTCCATTCAACTTTAACTTCATTCAAACAACCATCACAACATGCCTAGAGCAAATTTAATGTTCATCAATTTAATATTATCAACCATTTTTATTATATTAAATATACTTTCATGATAACATAAAGATCAGATTCTAAAAGTGGCAATATTGTTTGGGTTTCTGGATCACCAAAACGGCAGTTGAACTCTAAAACTCTGATCCCATCATTAGTTACCATTAATCCAGCATAAAGAACTCCTAAGAAGTCAATAGATAATATTTCAGTATTGCAATATTTATTGAAATACTCACCAATAAAAGGAGTTCCCCGATTTCGAAGACCATCAACAGCCTTTTGTAAAATATCTTTAGCTTCATTCAACTCATCTTGAGGCATGTTATAACAGGGACAAAAAGCTCCCATTCCTCCAGTATTTGGACCTTTATCTTGATTATTTGCTCTTTTATAATCTTGACTTGGTAGCATCACATTTATATTAACACCATCAGAAAAACATAAAACCTTAAAAATATGTCAATATTATAACAAAACAATTATTTAAAGTAAAAAATATCATACAGAAACTTCTTCTCCTTGTAACAATTCTTCCACTACAACAGTCTGACCAGCTTTTCCAAAACGATTTTCAGTTAATATAGAGTCTAAAGCCAAACATGCTTCTTGTTTATTGGATGCAACTACAACTCCTTTACCTGCAGCAAGACCACTTGCTTTTATAACTAGTGCAGGATAATCAGCCCTATTAAATATTTATCATATAAATTAAATAATATAAATAAAAACATTTTTTTTTAACATATATAAATAAAAATAATTACGAATAAACAAAATCAGTTGCTTGTTTCACATCATTAAATGATCTCCATTTAGCAGTTGGAATATCAAATTCATCCATAAATTGTTTTGCCCATTCTTTGTCACTTTCAATGCGAGCTGATTTAGCAGATGGTCCAAAACAACTGACCTTATGAAAACCCAATACATCAGCAATTCCTGCTGCAAGAGGGTCTTCAGGACCCACAACCACTAAGTCAATAAATGTATCGATACACCATTTTGCCAAATGCTATTATTATAGAAAACAAATAAACACAAATCAATAGGTACATTTGTTTTATAATTGTTTATTATATTATTCTATGAAATAAAAATGTAACCTATAAAATGACTTACAAAAAAAAAAAATTAAATAAAAATCATTACTTAATTAATGTCTAGTATTAGCATTGGTTATAAATAGTATTTATAATCAATAATATTAGTATTTAGAAATATTTCATAGATATCATAGGAACTATGTTCAATACAATTTAAAAATTAATTAATTTTTTTTTAAAAATACACTATTAATGGCTTCATTATTAATTTACTTACTTCAAAATTGTTAACATCCAAATCTACAAATTCTACTTGAGGCAATAATACAGCTCCAATATTATTTGGTGTAATATAAATTTTATCTACCTGAAAAGAAAAAAAAAATTAGAAAAACTAACATACATAAATACCACAACACACCACATGCATCCTGGTGGCTGATCTGCCATTAAATATAGATACAGCAAACTGAAGTTTAAAAGTAATAAATATAAAAAATAAGTATTTAAAATAACATATTTATTTGGAATAAAATTAAAATAAATAAAATTATATAAGTTAAATATATATTCTAATCTCAGTTTATTAGAATTTGAGTTACATTTGTATGTTATTACTTAAATTTCTTTAGAGCTGTTGTAGTTATCCAACAAAATATAAGTGTAGCGAAATATAAAAGTAATCACCCACTAAAAGTGTAAATATAGGGAGAAGGTTAAATTCCCATTTCAAAATTACTACAGACATTTAATTCTTTTTTTAACTTTCAATTCACTCTTATAACAAAAAATATATAGTCAAAACCCCATAAACAATTGATACACAATACCTACACCCTTGCCAATCCTCAATATATTAATTTATGTTGTATGCTATCTACCCAATAGAGTGCAATTAACACGCTTAAAAATACAAATTTGGACATCAATAATGTCCGTAATTCATAACATTATTTAAAATTTATCATGCTCCATAATAACAGTTAAAGATTGTATATAACATTTTCTTGTACCACAAAATTCTATGTTATTCACATATGAATTTACACACACCTCTTGCCCATCAACCAAAACTAAAAGGTGTAGTGGTTACTACACTTCTACTATAAGATAATCACCACTATCTATTTCACACTGTTATTACATAGATAAAATATCCCGATTAGCAGAATACTAACAACACCCTAAAAGGTTTAATTCATCACATTGTATTATATACCTAACCTATAATAAATCAGTTAAAATAGATATAGAGGTATTAAAATTATTTATTCTTTAAATTATTATTATTAGACAATATGTTTACTAAAAAGGATAAAATTATTTCCTCTTAGTTAAGTAATTTAAATAAAATATTCTAATCTCAAGGCCAATTATTAACACTACCTTGTTTGAAGGTTGTTTCTATTCCTATTTTCTTCAAAAATTGTTTTATAATTAGTTTAAAAGTTTAAGATATAGATTAGCTACAAAATTAAAAACCACAGTGATTGTTATATTATTAATTTAGAATAAGTTTGTATGTTATAGGTATTTATATTTATACTTGTATGTTATCATTTGTATTTATTAATTTTTTTTCATGATTCGTAAAATAACAATATTTTTAAAACACCAGTTCAAACATAATTTCATAAGTAAAATATGGTAGGTTTAAAATTATGTCTCTAAAATATACATACCGATATTATTAAATTTAGCAATATTAAGAAAATAAATTATAAACTAGCTGTCTCATGCCCGGTGTTGCCCATGTCAATTTTATATTCTTTTTACCTTAATTCCGATTTTTCTTTACCCATATCAATATACTGAACGAAAAATAGATGGAAAATGCGTAATACGCCTACAGTGGACTAAAAATGTTCTAGTGTCATCCATTTTTTCATCAGTGTTACCATAGATATCCACACAGCACAGGTATTAAACTATACATCTACTATAATAATAATAAAATTATGAGGACATAATAGTACTGTAGTGTTGTTTAAGTCCCAAAAAATACAAAGATTTAAAGATGACGTTTTATGATTTTTCACTTTTCACTTAAGTACCCAGCCAGTACAGCACATACCTAGATTTTTTATCTGTGTAACCAAAGTAATCCATCTTATTTCAAGCTAATAACAGACCGAAAGACAGTCAGATACTCTTTATTTTAAATTTTTATAGTATGACATTTGGCATTTTTATTTTTGTTTATTATTAATTTCATTTCATTTTATCCGTGTTTCTTCTAAGGTAATCCAAAATTCAAAAAAAATTATTTAATTTTTGAACCAAAAATACCTAAAAACCTTTCATCCCCATCAAGTTTTATTTTCGCAACAAAAAGTAGCCTATGCAAAGTCTTATCTATTTCTATATCAAAATTTATCAGAATTGGTTCAGGGATTTAGCTGTGAAAACGTAGAAGAAGTCTTACTTTCACATTTTAAAATATTAGTTAAAATGGATATTATTCTTACTTTTGAAGAAAGTGATAGTTTCCAAGCGATTGCATTTTCTCGTCCACCACCACCAACCACAAGTATTCTAGCCATAGATAAATCTGTAAAACTAAAATATTTACGTAAAATATAATTTGTAAACCAAAATAAATAATTAAATGTTTTAGTAGGCATCTACCTGCAATATAATATAGTTCAAGAATTATTACTAAATCGTGAGAAACCACGTGTAAAAAAGTGACTATAAAGATTTCTGTAAAGAAGACAAATAGAATAAATACAAGTACCAATGAAACAAATCAGACTAATCAATAATAATCAGACTAGCATGTAGTTAATAGCAATTTTAGATAATAATTATAATTTGGGATCACGACATTGGATAAAAATAAATAATTAGCATTGGAACTGGTAGGCCAAAACACAAATTGTAGATTAAGAGCATTAGAGCAAAGAGAAAGAAGAGATGAGTTAAATCATTAATCAATCAGAAAATGTTATTTCTATAATCAATAATTTATCAAAAATTATCATGAATTAACCTTAAAGTGTATATTAACCGCCAAAACGGTGTAGGTTTGAGTTAGAGATGTAAGTGTTTATCTCCACGAACAACGAAAACCGGTTTTTAAAAGAGCGGGAACTGAACTGACCTTTAAACATTTGATTATATTATTGATATTCTGTGATTTTAATATTGAGCCATCCGGTTTTTGAACAACCAAACAAAATATGGCTACATAATATACATATTGTACATAGATTTATTTTTCATGGATACATATTATATAATTGTTAGGTAGTAAAAATTATTTTCCAATTTATACATATTGTATTCATATTTTTTAGAATAAAATGTCTAAAACTAATAATTATTAAAGTCTCCAAGTATCCCGACTTATAAATTATAATTAAATTATCAACGAAATCATAATATAGTTTAGTTTAATAGAAATCTATTAATATTATACATGTTCAAATTGGTTAAATAATTGAAAAATAATAATACAGCAAGGTTAAAACTTAAAATGTACAACTTATTTTGAGAGGTCTTACATTATAATAGGTTGAGTAGATCACATAAATTAGTAGGTAGACAGGAACGGACCCGGGGGGGGGTCCTCCCAGACATATTATTTCTCCGTTTTGTTTTTTTTTTATAATTCTATAGATCCTGATATTACCATATTCCAATCACTGATATGTATAATAAAATAATATTATATATTATATTTTAATTGTATTTGTGTTGTAAAAAAAAAATTGCCCCCTCCCCAAATCTTTGCTCTGGATCCATGTCTATAGGTCAATATGTATAATTATTTACCTAATAGATACTAAAAGCTCAATGAAATCGTGTTATAAGTATTCGAATGTTGGGAAAATTCTATAATCCCCCATATCTATTAGGTAAGTATTTATACATACCTACCTACAGGCACGGATCCTAAGCAAAGATCTGGGGGGCAACTATTTTTTTACTTTACACAAATACAATTATTAATAATAGATGTTAGTATTATCATGGTGAGCACATCCATGATTGCGAATATATTGAGTAGTATTGAATATTCACCGATAGATAAATCACATCAGCCCTACATTAACAGTTAATTGCTTTTGTTTAAATGATAATAAAATTATTAAAGCATAAAATCATACTATAATTATAACCATTACATTATTTTAACCATACCTACTTAGTATCTATACTTACTATAATTTAATCTCGTATTTTATAATGTGAATACCGTAACTTACCGGTATAAACATTAAACAGGTAAATATGTAGTATTTATCTAAGAATATTTAGTAATTGTAGTACCCATCTACCTACGTATCTGGTATATTATTATATATGGTTTATCAAAGTTGGTTATTTTATCGATTTTTACACTAAATATGTTTATCAGACCTAATGAGTCCAGGGTCAAAAAGTAAATCAAGTCAAGTATTTATAGATTCCGTATAATAGATCGAAATAATAGTGAATATAGCTATAAAATAGGAATTCCGTGGGAAAAAGATCAACGACAAAAATAATTTATTTTTATTTTTTTCATATTGTGTTAAATGTTTCATAATTTTAGTAATGAAATTATTGTGGACAAAATTCTAAATTGCATAGTACTATATTGCTGTTACAATACCTACACTATTCAATAATGCAATTCCGCTAATCAAATTTACTAGGTAACTAAATTTTATGTCAGTAAATGAATAGGTAGAAAGAGGCGGATTGGTGATGTTTTTCTAGCCGGGAAATAATATGAGTAATATGACTCAAACCGGCTTATAAACCTGTACTAATTGATTTTCCGAAAGGTCAATTCGCACCTGTAGGTAGGTAGTAGGAGGTACTAGGTAATTTATTTTTCTTGTGATCATTACTTATCAATTAAAGTTATTAAACTGTTTATAGTTCAAGTTATTTAACTGTTTATACTGTTTATAAAGAGTGTCTAAACTCGCGCGTACATCTGAGACGCCGACAACGCTAGGACTCCCTGGTTAGCAGCTGATATTTCGACATCTATCTCACTACCTACGTATAACTCGTATAAGTAAATAATGTGGCTCTCTACCGTAGCAACTCTGTAGCGAGTAATCGACATGCTCGATATATTGAAGTGAAGTGAATGTGGTAGTTTGATCAGATTAGATTGGATATGGAATAAATACATAATAGGTACCCAGTCTGTATAGAAGTATAGATCATAGCAAGAAAAATAACATAGTATATCATATGGTGTATAGTGTATACATACATATTATATTAGCATGTTAGTACATTGAGAGAAGGAAAAACGATAAGATAGTCAATAATATGTAGGTGAGTTTAGTGTACCTAGTGTAAATGATAACCTGAAGAAGAGATAAACTAAAGACAGAATGGCTATAGGTTATCAGGCCTTAAAAACTCTACATATAAATTTTTTTGAATGGATGAAGAAATGGTCGTGGATGGTGAGATGTGGAAGATCGAAACCGATAATAAGTTCCTAGATAGGAATAGGTACTTATAGTTGACTTGTTATTCTGCTAACGTCAATTACGTAGCATAAAGGCGAAGATGAACAATAAACACATTTCAATTTGCACTCTTAACAAAAACTCAATAATATTATTAATTTTAGCTCACAATTAAATAAAAGTTCTACGGGTCACGTCTAATTTTCAAAATAATAACTTGAATATCGATATTGTAAAAATGTAAAAAAATATAACATATACCTAATAATCAATAAATCCATATAAAATAATAAATATTTAAGCATTGAATTGATATTCTTCCAAGGTTTTATATTGCTTAAATATTATAAATATTATATAAAATATTATGTTTGTTTATAAAAAGAAATTTGAAACATAAAAAAAAAAAAACAAGTTTTTTTAAAAACTGATCTGTAGATATTCATATGAATTCAATTTTACAGAATATATTAAATTTGTACTATTTTTGTATACAGCATAGTGATAAAGAGTAAGTCGTCCTTTTATATACCACGTGATCATTAACCAGATTTATATACTATATATGTAGATGTATGAATTTTTATTTTATTGGATATCATCCAACATATTAAAATAGCGGTATTCTGTTTTTTTTTTTTAAATCTTTACTCTTCTTAATAAATATCCTTGTGATCTTTCTACTTAGTTTTATGGATACCTACAGGGTGTCCTACGAAAATATACTCATCATTGTAATATTTTCGGAAATAATAAAGATAATCAAATTCTGTTTTTTTAATTTTACACTCTAGGATAAACACTACAAATATTTATATTGCAATTAGTTTTTTATGTTTTGGTAAAAAAAATTAAAAAATAACTTTATTTTATTATTTTTTAAAAATTAAAAGATTTCATTTAATTCATAATTTTTTTTTAGTTCAGAGAAAACATTTGTACAGTCAATTAATCGTAATAACTAATAATTATTTAGAAAATACGATCACAGCCTGCTGAATAATAAATTATAGGCATTTTTCTCTGAACTTTAAAAAACTATTGAAGATCACGAATTTTATGAAAATAAAAAGTTGATACATCAAAATTTTCAAAAAAAACAAAAAAAGTTATTTTTTAAATTTTTTATCAAAACATAAAAAATTAATTTCAATATAAATATTTGTAATCCTTATCCCTGTGAGTAATATAAAAACCAGAATTTGATTATCTTTTTTATCTCTGGAAATATTACAATGGATATATCTTGGTGGGACATACTTTATATACCTAATAATATCATCACGTGGTAATGGACTAGATTTAAAATGCAACAAAAAAGGTCTCTTGTCGCTTAACTATTGGCGGAGCAATAATTATGGTAAAAAACAAAAGTTTATAATAATGAAATCGTTGTGCCGTAATTTGAAAAAATCGTATTTTTCGTCTTTTTTGATTTTTGAGTTTTTCCCAATTATTATGAAAATTACTTTAGAAATAAGAAAATAAACTTCTTTGTCAGTGGCTATATGTTACAACGAATAAAATTGCTCTCTTGTCTTTCTTCGATTGAAGCAATATTTCTGGAAGAAAACATTGTGAATAAAAAGGCGGACAAACTTTGCGCGATGGATGGTCGTGGACCACTGTTGTAGATGAGTAGTTGGAAAGGTAGAATATAGAGGGGAATTTAATGTAAAAATGTAAGGAATAATTAATTATTGCTAAAGAAAAACAATTCTGAGAGGAGTTCGATTAATATTATTGTTTTTTCAACAATATACGTGTATATGTCATATTATAGTAAAATAAATGTATATTAAATACAATAAATTACACAGTAAAACACATATTGTTTTGCATTAGTATTTTCCCTGGCACCTACCAGACGTGATTTTGCAAAATAATTTTTTTGGAACTTTGGTTTGAACTTGCGATCTCAAGGATCTCAGGTATACGTATGTTTTATTTTTATTTAACCCTTTCAGTCGCAAGTGCCATTATAATATTACAATAAAAACAACTGTAGAAATGATAATTGTATGTGTTACCTTTGGGAAATTGGTTTATTTTATCAACAAGTATTTTGTTGAAAAATATCCTCCGATGGGAGGCCGCCATATTGATTCTGATGGTGATTTACTCCATGAAAAACATGGAGAATAAACCAAATAATCTGTGATTATATTAAAGAATAACAAACATGCGGAAATAATAAACTAATAATAGAGTAATATAACTAATTTATGTGTGGAAATCAGAAATAGCCGATAGGATGATAGTAAATAGGTATTGATAAAAAAAAAAACTCTCAAATAAACAGTAAGAATTAGCACTTTATAATTTAATAACATTTTGAAATATAGCGAACCGTGTCAAGATACTTTTTCTTATTTTTTA